TCTTCAAAAAGTGTTTTGAATTTCATTTGGGGGGATAGGGGAGAAAATCACAATGACAGTTGTATTGAAATTGCTCCTGCTACATTGTGGAACAGATTGATAAAGCCAAGAAGGTTTTGTTTTTGTTTTGCCTTCCTTTTCTATCTTCCACAAATGGCAATTTGACTCTGGCATTCAGAATTGTCAGCAGGCTGTAAGATAAAGTAGCATGCCCAGCTTTGCTTGTTCAGTGAATTCAACTGTGAGAAAGCTTTTGACCTTCAGAGTGACAGCGGGAAGAATTACTGTTTTGACACAAGATGCTCGAAGAATGTTGTACTGACGTCACTTGCTGCTTTAAGCATTGAGCACCTGCTTCTCTGCCTGCAAAACCTAGGTTATGTCTGAGCGTAATGAGCCCCTAAATCACCGTAAGCATCCAAAATATGATAGTGATGATCTTTCCACCTCCTGAAGAAAATAAGTTACTGAAAGCATTAGAGTCCATGTGCTGTAAGATTAGAAAGCATTCAAAAAAGCCAGATGAGGTGGTTGGTGTGACATGGCTGGAGTTATATATATATATCTAAAAAATAAGTTTTGTAGCTCAGTTAAATATCACTTATTATACCGTATAGAGTGCTTTTAAAGTCATCTTTGCAGGGTGCTGCAGGGGGAAAGCTGGAAGAGAGGGTTTCTACTGAGGATGTGGCTGCAGTGAATCTCGACTATTCTCAACCTTTTTTTTTTTTTTTTTTTTTTTAACTTCCCCTGTTCCCTTTTTTTCTCACTCTTCTTTCCTGACCTTGTCAGTCACCTGCTGCTTCAAGTCAGTGATCACCACCCCACCACAGTTCCTCCGACTGGAAACCTCTGGGGAAGATAGGGTACTGTCAGCCCAAGGCAGATTTCTGCTATGTGGCAAAACCAGAACATTCTTTGGAGAAGTCAGAGGAGCATGACTGCTTGAAATGGAAGCTAGTCTGAGGATGTAGAATTGCAATATATTTAGTCAGCTAAAGACTGCTACTGTAAAGGAAGAGTCTGGCTTTTCCTCGTCCTGCATATTTGTTCCTGCTGCATCCCCTCTGCTAAACCCACTACGTGAATCAGTGCAATCAGATGAGCTTGCTGTTCAGACTGAAAGGTACTGATAGGGTTGGAGAATGGAGATGGTTATGTTTCAGCTGGATCAGAGTTCTCTTGCCTGTGCAAAAACAGAGGGGGAAACGCCTATCTCGGCTGGAGTGGAGATGTTAGGGCTGTCCCTACTGCTTCAAGTGGAGATAGAGAACTCAGAGGTTCGTGTTCAGGACTACATCTACGAGGCTGAGGAGGGAGGGAAGAGGGAATTGAAGTAAGACTTGTTTGTGCTGTTCAAATAACTGTTATAGCCATTAATGATATATGTAAACTGCCTTGCATTTTTTTTAGAGAGCGAGCTATGTTGTTGTATCATGTCAATGTGCTCAAAACTGTCTTATTTGTCACCTAGGTTTGCATAGCTTCTGTGTTTTACATTGGATTCTTGTTATATACTGAACTGTAGGGCTCTCAATGGTCAAATTTCTGTTCTTGCATATGTACGTACAAATGTAATCAAGTCACACTTAATCTTCTCTTTGATTACACTAAATAGTTTTAATTGCAGGAGGCTCTTGTGTTGAGGCGTGTTTCTTCATCTTTTAGCTGTTTTCTCTGATCCTCCTGAGATCCTCCTACAAATGTGGAGTTATGGTCATCAGAAGCTGCAAATTCCACTTCAACAGTAGTTTCAGTACAAGATTGGAAAGAATCCTTGTTACTCCTTATTCACTATTCCTGCTTTTGTATATATGAAAAATTTGCTTGCCATTTTGGACACAGTAGTGCACTGGCGTCTTCTCAGTGGTTTGTTTGTCATGACCCCAAGCCCTCATCTGAGTTGTTGCTTTCTGAGGTAGTCCTTGACTCCGTTAGATTTGCTGTGGTGCTTCATTCCAACCAATGTATTGCTGGACTTCAGTTATACTAAAACTTGTATCCTTTGCCATACTGTGATGCCAGGTGACCCAGACTGCCCTGTATCAATGGTCTGTGCAGTGGGATATTTATTGCTTGGCAAATATCTTCCTCCTCTGGGTGCCTTCCCTGTAAGAACTTAAGGATTTCTGAAGTTTCAAATAGGGCAGGGGCAAGAATGGCTTTTGAAGGGGCTCACTAGATGCAGTGAGGATTTCCTGTTTATAATACTTCTTGGAGAATGCCAAATCATTTTTTGTCTGTTTCTGTACTGGGTTGACTTTCTTGATACAAATGTTGAGTGGTACTTAAATTGTTGTTGATATAATTTATCTTTAAAACATTGATTTATCAGCCAAATGTTGTGACTTCTGTTGTGTGTGTATGTATGTGTATATGCGCATTTATTTTGTCAATACATGTGTAGATGCATTTTTGACAGCATTTGACAGCTTTTTTTCCCAATTATTTTTGGTTCACCTCCTCAGTCTTTTTTGTTTCTTCGTTTACAAAGACAGCACACCCAGTCTTCATTGTGCAGAAAAGCTTTATCTTTAATTGCCACTGATTTTCAATTGAACTTGAAAACACATTTTCATTCAAAGTGAAGAAGTTAAGCTGAAAATCAGGAAAGCTTATTTTCCTCTTCTATTGTATGAATAAAAATGAGATGCCAGTTCTGAAAATATGAGGTGTATCATGATGTGAGATGACAAGTCTAATTTGATAACTGCAATTACTATTGCCTTTCTTCACTAATATAATTTTAAATGTAAAACAAGATTTGGGAGGAAAAAAAGTACATCTAACATAGCTGAGATAGCAAGTTGGAATCTAAGCTTAATGTTTCTTAAAATACAAGTTTTTGCATCTTTAATGCAATTCTATGTCCAGGCTAACTATGGTTAATCTACTCAATATTTTCGAGTATAATAACAAAAAATGGTTTCAGTAAATGTCCACTAAATATAGTAAATATTTGAGTAAATGCATTGTAAATACTGTCTGCTCCCAGACAGTGGTTCTGAGTAAGGAATCTAATGTGCAAGCTGTATTTGGTTCTGTCAATATCAGCCACTGAAAACAAACTTCTTTGTTTTCTGTGAGTACATTTAAAATAAATGCTAAGGAGATTACAGTGAGTTAGATCAGTCCCCTCTTCCGTGATTTTTAATGATGATTCAAATTGTGATTAAAATCACATAAATACCAATCAGTCCTGATACATTAGACCACAATCTTGGTTACGCCCTGTAATATAACAGAGCCCTGAGACACTGTTATATTATGAGACATCCATGACCTTGTTCCTTATTTTCTTCGCTCCTGCTCCCTCTATGCTGATGCTGCTAGTCTTGAGTTTTCCCCTCTACTTTTTTTTTTACACTACCATGTGTTATAGAATTACTTTTTTCATCCAGCTTTACCCAGTTGTTCGCCAGTCTACATTGGAGCTTCTTCTGAATGCCCTCTCTTGTTAAGTTCCTTAGGAGTAGCTATTCATACCTATTTTTTTAAGTTGCGTGTCATCTCCTTTCCTATAAACTTCCAAAAGTCTTGGCTTTTTTTTACTTTCATGTTTGGTATTGTAAATAGTTAAGACCAAAATGAAATGGAATGGTGACTAGTGCAATGCATTTATGTAACCAAGTAAGGTGGAGGTACTGGGTGCTAGAAAAACAAAGACTCCATTTAAGTTGCTGTAGCATGTTTGTGCCATCTGTCCTACAGATGCTAAAGTATAAATTTGGCTTCCTCTAGGAGACATTAGGCTGGCCATGTGGTGGAGACAGCTGCTGAGATAGAAGGGAATCTTTGAAATTGTATAGCAATCATATTATTATTTTTCTAGCTGCTGATGGGGTGGGACTAGGGGGCATCCAAATTTTGAGCCACAGCTTTGCTGTGTGCTGTAGAATTACTTCTATCCATATAATTATCCTCTCACTACATAGTGTTCTAAAGTGATTAAAAAAATGATAATTGGAAACATTAAAAATGAATCAGAAAGGTCATCTTGTGGTTGGATACCACTCATCAGGTGATGTAATACAAGCTGTAGAAAGCCTCAGGATAAAGCTGACGTAATGTAAACTTGATTCTTTGTATGTAATGGTCATCTTATCTGATGTGGTTGTGCTTCTGTAGGTGATACAGATGATAGCTTGTCTGAGATGGCTGAAAACTAATGAACCCAAATTAAATAAATGTGAATTCTGATTCTGAAAGTCATACTCGTGTCATACAAATAGCCTTTTTGCTTTAAAATAAAAAAACTTATCAAAGTATCGGATTTTTTTTATTTGCATCAAAATGTGTATGTAGTCATTTACAGTTATCAGATACCAGTTTATAGTTGTTTTTATTCTTGTGTTATAAAACATTTCTGTTTGTTTTTGGAAAGCAGTGAACTGAAAAAAAGAAGTGCCAACTACCTCAGAGAACAAAGAAATATATGACAGACTAAAATTTATTGCTAGAGTAATAGACGGTGGTATTAGTATAATTGTGATGACTATGTTACTTGCATCTTGAAACCCTAAAGAAAATATCTATGCAGCTTTTGCTATAATCAAAATTTATGGTAAAATGAAGACTGGGGAAGATGTCAGTGGGGATTCTTGGTTTTTAAAGAAGTAAATGGTGATCGGGATAGCAGCCCTGTGGAGGTGTTCTTATGAGTATAGACTGTATGGAAATCACGAAGGGAGGTGCTGACTAGTGAGTGGAAAAGGACAGGGATGTGTGCAAAAAGAAGTTTAAGAGGGTAAGTTAGAGATGTCAGTGTCATGTAGCATTTTGAGATTGACAAAAAGACACCTGAATTTGATACTTGATTAGAAAGTTGAATTTAATACATGAAGGAACACACTTCATCAGAGATTTAAATGATGGGATTACTTAATTTTCACTGCAGTTGACATGTTTTTGAATTTTGAAGGCTTTATTAGTTGGTGGGGCAGTCTAAAGAGGGATTTCCTGGCAAGCTTTCATTACTGTGTTTTTTTTATTTTTAATAGATATTCAGGACAGTCAGTTGTCTCCCTGTCTTCCACTGCTGATGTATTCAGCACAAGGCCAAAGACTTTCAGATGATACGCTTCTCCAGCAATCAGAAATGGATTTTATTCCCTTAAGGTAGGATAAAGTTACCTTGGGTCATAACAGAATACAACCCATTTTTCTTGAGTGGCCATGAATTGTCCTACATTTGATAACTAAATACAGTTTTATGCTCACAGAAATAAGACAAAGGTGTAGTTTACTCTGTTTGGTATAGAGAGAAGGCATTGTCAAAGTTCTACTCCTCTTTTTATTTTGCCTTCAAAAGAGTTTGAACAAGGGAAAACGAGAACAAGCCTCTTCTGAACTTGACATCCTTAATGTACCTGAAGAAAACCGGAAAATGAGGAACTCCACCCTCTCAGACATCTTTTTAGCTTTCTTAGAGACTGAAATAAACTTCATGAAATTTTGGGGACAAAAATGAGATACAAGTCCTATTTACAGTAGTAAATATATGCATACATATACATGTAATAATATTGTGGTTTGTAATGGAGTAATATATGTGTAATTTTAAATAGGTATTTGTATATAAAGTTTGAATATATAAAGAAATAACTATTTCAGTAAAAGTTTTTGTTCAAGCCTTCATTTCAAGGTGTGACAAATATTCTTTTGTGCAAAGAAGGCAAGAAATCTTCTGCCCTTTATTAAAAAGGGGAAAAAAGGAAGGGTATACATAAATATACATACTTACGGTTTTGCTGTTGTTTAGGCTTCCTTGTACTTTCTTTGGTGTGTGATGGGACACAGATTTGTTTTCTAATGGCATACACTCTGACTTCACTTTGTGGATCAAAACTTAATTCCACCAGAGCCAGTGATCCACTTGCATAGAGTAATACTAGTTGAGGTTTGATGATCATTTTCATATAAAATAACTATTAATTAAAAATCTACAATAAAAATATTAGAAGTTTATCGGAATTTATTCTTGTGTCCCTCTGAGACCCTGGCTTATTTTATATCCTTTAAAGAAATAATTGACATAATGAAACTGACATAGGTGATTTATGTTAAAAAGAACCAAACCCACATGGAAAGCAGCTTCTATATTTTATTTAACTGATAAACATCCTGTTAGTAAAAAATACTTCTGTCCTAAATTGATTGAAAAATATTGACCTACTAAGTAGAAACTAATATTATTTAAAAATTTTTATTTTATAGGGCGGTAGGGTTTTTGATATAGTTTGAACTTTTTTTACATTTTTTCACATTTTGGCCTGTTTAGAGGATGTATTTATGTGTATGTTGCTAAACTGCAGTTATTTCTTTGAGTGAAGTTTTACTTTTTCCTCTTCCATTACAGCAGAGAATACGGATGTTGAAATAAAAAAATTGATCAGAAATTTACTTACTTTTCTTGCCTCTTGTAGAGGAGTCCCTGATGTTTCTGGTGCGTCTCAGGAGCATGCAAAGGCTTCACACATCCATGAAGCTGTGTCACTGACAGACGTAGAATCTCCCTCTGATGTGCCCAGTGACTGCTTTACTTTGTCCCAGCATCCTTTTTCATTCAGACATGTGGAACCTTGTGATGCCAGTGGTAGTGGCTGGTTGTCTCAGCAAACCTCTTTTTCTGGACAACTGCCTGTGAACAAGGAGGCAAATGAAGACTGTAAGAATTATACTAATGAGAAGGCATTGATGCCCCAAACAAGTGACAATTTAGCAAACTCCACTTCAAAGGTGATGCTAACCAAGACAAACAGACTCAACCAAACAGAAGTTTCTCTTGCAAAGCAGACCTGTAGTACGTCTATAAAAGACCAATGTTTCTCTTGCAGCATGGATGTACCAGCTACTGGTTTTGAGCTTTTAGAGGAGGACAAAGGGTTACTGAGGCATGATGAGTTCTCATCTTCAGAAAACTCCTCTTGTAAAACAGCACTGACTAAGAATTCAGAAAAAAGGGAAAGAGAGATGCAAAAGGAAAAGGTAAAAATGTCTGAGGGTGAGTCAGAAGGGTGCATGAAGCAGCTGGAGAAGCTGGAAAAAGAAAAGAAGGTTCATGAGCTTGATTTGTGTAATAATTTATCTGATGATTTGAGGAAAGACAATTGTAAAAATTCAGATGCACAAGATGCTTTTTCTACAAAGACTTCTGAAATAGCTCAACTGTCAAAGGAACATGGAGTGGATTTAAATGGCTCTGAAAGCTTGAAGTTTGTGGCTGTTGCCGAGGAAATCCAGGGAGCTCTCCTAGATCATCAGCAGAAACTACCATCTCCTATAATGAGATCTGAGAAAGAGGAGCTTATCTCTACTGTGACAAGCACCAGTGATTGTGCACCTAAACAAGTAGCGGTGACTGAAATGGAAGCTCCTTCATGCAGTGAGAATGCCTCAGTGGAAGTAGAACCTGGAGTAAGCAGGAGTGAATTAACTAGTTCGGATTTTTCCATAGAAAGGGGACATAAAATTACAGGCATTTCCCCTTCCTTTAATCTTGTAGGTGATGGCTCATTCTCTGTGCACCTTGTTCATCCAAACTATCAGTCTACTCCAGGGATACTACTAAAGAAAAATGTTAAGGCAGAAGAACTTGGTGTCCTTGTGATCAAATCAGATACTCAGGCCTCTCCTTCATGCTTAAATGAAGAAACTTCACAGAAGTCATCTAGCAGTACACCTGTACCTGGTGAGGAGCAACTTTCACTCCAGTGTGCTCAGAAAGAAAACAATGATTGTTTTGAGTCCTTACAATTGAAATATCCCCACACTGGAAGAATTCAGTCACTCCCATCACTTAGTTTCATGGAAAAGGTAGGGGCTTGGAATGTGAGCCAGCCAGAGGAGATACCTGATGCACTGACTTCAAGTGACCCAGGTGGGGTTTCTTGTAGAAGGAAAGCCTACAGTGCAATTACCAGTTCTTCAAACAATATTTTGTCAATACAAAAAAGTGGTAGAGACCCCAAGGATTATGCTGCTGCTGCTTCCTCTAGAGAGACAGGTTCCCTGGGAAGTTTGCATTTTCATAATAAAAACTTACTGCTTATGCACCTTCTTAATAGATCTCAGTCTGTCAATGCGGTAAATGTTTCCAGTAGGAACACATCCTTGGTTGAAGTTATTCCACCAGCAAATTCAAAGGAGACAGTGCGGCCTCTAGAAGATAAAAGTAACATTTTAGGAGTGTCTGAAAATAGTTTAGGAGGCTCTGTGATACAAAAGTTCACAGCTGAGATTGTTTCTGGATCTAGTGGTGAAGAGGCAGAAAGTAATAGTACAGGACAAAGTTCAGACCCAAATGTTTTTGTTTCCGGTGAAGGAGTTGCTCCGCTCCTTCGAGAGGGTGGAAACTCTCCAACTGATGACCAGAAGAATTGTGATCCTCTTGAAAATCACTCTGACAACCTAAATATTCCTACTGGCCATGTTAGCATGGGCAATTTTGGTGATATTTCCCCAGATAGTTTGACTCTGCCTGTTAGTGCTGGGGAAAGCAGCCAGGGGGACTTGGGCTCTCCTGGGTGCTCTTCAGTGGTTTCCAGGTACTTCTTCAGCAGTGCAAAAGATAACTTCATCCCTGTTGGAGCAACTTCTTTGGAAACTCCAGAGAAAGAAGAGCTTAATATTGAAGAAAGGATCCCGGTAAGTTAATTTCTAACAAAAATTTGTAACTCTTTTTTACCTTCTGATTATGGAGTAATCAGAGTGCACTCGGCTGTCGTAGAGTGATGTCCTGGTTTTCTCAGTAAGTCTTTCTAGAGCTGCTACAGTTAGGGGACAACAGGACAGAAACACAGAAGGTATCACAGGAGTGAGACACTAGCATGCTCTAGTGTCTGATAGTTTCTGATATGTACTCATGTTCGGAACCTGTCATGCCATAGTTCATCTTCTAGGAACACATGCAAATAAGCATTTTATGTAAGCCTAAAAAAAATAACCTTAAAGGACATTTTATAACCAATTCTAATTTAAACTCTGATTTCAGAGTTTTCCCATTTTTTTTATCCACTGTTCTTCTGGGAGGCTCTGGTAGGGTCTAGATCACTACAGACTAAATAAAATGGCTTTATGCTGGACAGTGCTACTGGTGAATTTCATCCATGATATTACTTCAGCTTATCTTAAGTACAGAGATGGAAGAAATGGTTTTTAGGTAATATTTTACATGGGCAAATAAAAGGCTGGATATGGGAAAGATATGTTTTTTCCCCCATAGGGGGATAGGTGATACTATGGTGGTGACAGAGTACAAGAGTAATGTAAAGATTGGTGACTAATGGTGGTGGAACATAAAGGACATAAGCACAGGACACAGTGAGTGATAAAAAGTGAAATCTGTTTGATAAAAGGCTTGTAAATAAATTGATTATAGCTCCTTTAGCAGAGCATTGATAAACCATTTCTGATCTTCCAGATTCTTTCAAAAGATCAGGTTATAATTATCCAAACATGAGGTTGAGATTCAACTGCTGACTAAGGAAATGCTAGGCTGCAGAAGAGAGAGATGAACTTCACACACCCACGGATCTGCAATAATAGCAAAACCAACATAGAACTCCTTGGCAAATCAAATTGCCTATTTTTTTTTTTCTATAAATACTCTTATTGCTTGTTCACTTTGTTCCAGTCTTTAAGGCATACATTCTTGGTTCTTTGTATGTTGCTCATAAAGGATGTTCGAAGCCTCTGCATGCCTTCACTCCTTTGTATCTTATTTGGCTACTACAGATTTCTTTCCTCCCTTACCCATTTCAGGATGGTTCGTGAGAATGGAGGGCAGATTGTGGCAGCCATGTTAGCTGTACTAATAGCTGTTGAATGGTAGAGAAAATTAAATGCAGATTTATGTTAATGATAAACATGTAATTATCTTCTGAGTAAGTGGCTGTTCCTCTCACAAGATGACTCCTTTAATCATTAGGTCTTTGGAACTGTGTTTTAGAAGCACTCTTCTCTGAGTTGTCTCTGCAAATATGTGTTGAAACAAATATCAATATTGTAGGGGAGATATTTTAAATTAAATTCATGAGAGGTAAAGGTTGTCTGTTGACTCCTTTTTTATTTTTTTTATGACTATAGTTAGGCATGTTCTGCAGCCCTAGTTCTGAGGAATTCTGTTCTTATAAATCACTGACAAGGTAAAGTAGATTAGGCCACGTATATGGGTATTAATATGTTGTTTGTAATAAAATCATAGGAAATAGAGTTGGCTAAGATCTATAAGGTGATTTATTTCATTTTGTTGGCTAGTTTAGGACATAGTACAGATGAGTTGGAATTAACTTGTCCCTACAGGTGATTAAGTCAAGGCAAATTTAGGTTGGTGGTGTTTTCTTTTTTTTCCCTGCATATAATGTCTGTATGCAAACTTAAGATGCTCTATCAAAAGGGAAGAAATTATTTTTTCAGGAAATCCTAGGTGACCTTTGGTAGGCTCATACCTCCACGCTTTCAAAATTTATTAATACAGGGAATGATGGCGTGTGTGTCTGAGCTGGCAATGTCCAGACAATGTCTGATAATGTTTTCTGTGCAGTGGTCATCTGGGAAGGGAAAAGGCTTTTAAAGCAAACCTTTGTGTTCTCCTTCTCACCTTAAACAGGTGAGACTGAAGCTTACAAATCTCCTCTGAAGTATCAGACTTCTTGCTCATACAGTGTACAGAGCATGCATTTGAGTGAAAAGACTAGAAGCAGTCGGCTTCCGTTGTTTCTGCATCCTATGGAAAGGGCTGGGCGCTTGTTTGGTGGTTGCAGCCTACTGCCAGTTGCCATCTTTGGCACATGATGAAGGAAAGGGCAGGAAAGCACCAGGGAAAAACTTGTTGATGAGTGCAGGCACAAGCTATGACCACTGGAACAGTTCTTGCAACTTATTTCTGAATTGCTGCCAAAGATAAATTAAAGAGGAAGAGATTGCAGGATGTGTCAGTTGTTCTGCTGGCCTACATGTGGTTTGTGAAGTGCCCGTTATGTGGGCCTTACCGTACAAGCTAGAGAATAGGCTTGTCACTCATGGTCCAAAGAACAAAATAAGCTGGAGATGTTATCTCATGTAACTGCTTTAGTGTTTTGGATGAACTGTTGGTGTGAGTTGAACATGAATGAAGCTTAAGATGTTTTAAAGCAAGTTGTGTTTAAGGTGACGTGGAAATCATGTGCAGCTTCAGAATCCACTGACATTCTGTAAGACTGCCATCTTTGTTACTTATTTTTTCTTTTGCCAGATATATCTTCGCAACCTTGGCATTGATCAGTCACCTGGAACTATACTGACGCCATTTATACCCCGAGGACCAATCAGGGAAGTTGAATTTTCCCCTTCAGAGCTTAGAACACTGAAGGACTTCACTGACACGCTGACGAGGACCGTCCCACAGCCACAAGGTATGGGGAAGGGAGGACCTTGTGTTGTGCATAGAGAACACAGAACTTCAGACTCACCTGGGAGGTTGCTCTTGGCCTGGTAGCGTCAAGTGTGTTTCTTCTCATGTGATCTCTGTTTCATTTGTATGAGTTGATCTTATCCTATCTCAAATACGAGATATTTGGCATTGGAAAAGTCAGCATTAAAACATTTGAAAACATGGCTTCTCACTAAGAGGTCATGGCTACCTTCTAGCCAGTGCAGTGCATTTTATCTTTTTTTTTCCTCTTTTTACAAGAGTTCTTAAGAAGGAAATGTTTTGTATTTGAAGATTAAAGAAATGTTACCAGGTTTTTTTTTTGTGTGGTTTCTATTTCTTTCTGTGTCTTTTTGGTGTGTTCAGCATGACAAAATGTCATACACGTTTTTATAACTGACCAGATCAGTTCATAAATCCATTCATCTCAATATATAAAAAAATCTTGATATGACCTTAACAAGTTTGAGTCATTTCTATGTGAAGAGCAGTGTGTTCAGTTAGGGTTAAGATGTTCTTCAGTGACATGCCCGTGTAGTGTGTCATTAAAACATGAAAATGTGCATTACAACTACTTTTCCTTAGCATTATTCTCTTTTGGAGTTTGCATCTTGTACCCAGTGGGGAAGAGCAGCTCTGAAGGTTCTTCACAAGAAGTACCTATCTAACCCTTTGAACATCTGTGACTTTGAGAATCCTGCACTGACCTGTCTTTCTAACCAGAAGTGATTAAGTGCATCTCTTCTTATGCCAATTGGGCTTGCTTATTTTCTTTTATTATTTTTTCCTTCTTTAAGCATTGCGGGAGACTTGGCAACTGAAACACCTTGGTACAGAGATAGAGTTCTCCTCAATAGAGATATTATTCAGCTGGGCTCTGGACTACTTGATATACTTGAAAATATCAGTAGTTGGGCCATGGGACAAAATTGCATTTGAAACAAACAAAATAGCTGTTGGCAGGCATACTTGGGAGCTGGCTCTTCACTCTTGTGTCTGCCTGGCAGCATGGATTTAAGAAAAGCATTTGCACTTAAGTTGTGGTTTTTTTGTGTTTTTTTTTTGTTTTGTTTTGTTTGTTTTTTAAGCAATAAGTTGTTATATATTCAAATGCTAAAAGTGCATCTGGTCTACTTTTGGACCTTTCTAAGCTGTAGTGGGAAACAAGCTTTTATAATCCAAGTGTTCATTTGTATGTTCAAACATCGCTATGTCATTTATGTAAGAACATTGATTTAATATCTAGTTTAAGCATTTATTCAAGTTATTTAAGTCAAGTTCTGTAGCTGCTTTGATATTTATCCAAAATGGTCCAAGGGATTTCTTTCAGTAGGCAATTGTAATGGAATTCTTAGTTCAAGTCTCAGTCTAAAAACAGTTTCCTGAATGTTTTCCAGTATTTCAATGATTCCCTCCTTTTACATGCCCTCTAGTACAAGATAACAGTTGCATCAGTAAAGACTACTTTTTCTGGAGCCTCAAACTTAATGAATCTTCTGTTACTTTGTAGGTGAATTGCTATCAGCAGCTGAAATTAAGCAAACAAGTTTTAACTCCAGCACTTCCACTCTCACTATGTCTACATCAATGAACTCAGAAGTTGGTTTTGATGTTCTGTCACTGGGTGAACTCTCTCCCCGCCTCTCAAGATCTTTTGGAGACAAACCAGTGAGTCAGTGCAGGGTGTCATGCCACCAACTGGAGATAACTGCTCCGCTTGTCACACAAGGAGAGGCAAAGTGTTCAGCTGTTTCCAGACTAACTGAACCAAACCAGCAGCAGCAGACTGCTTCACCTGACTGCTGCTCTGACAGAGAGAGTCCCATGCTTGTTGCAAAAAGTGTTCAGGATCTGCTAGCTAAAAATGAGTCAAAAAATGTAATTAGCAGCCTACAGAGATGGACTACTGGTTCTTTGGATGGAGTTAAAAATGAAATGGAAGTTGACAGAAGATCACAAACTTCTAGTGTAGGTAGTAGGAGAAATAAGGGTCAAGAAAGTGATTCTTTGATTGGGTCTGGTGCACTGTGCAATACACATAAGCTTTTGGCAGAGGATATAGCTGGCAGTCAGTGTGATCCTGTCTTTTCCACTGCCTCTTTTAGAGAAACTGCTAAGTCTTCCTCAGTGCTCATGAGAAAGGAAGATGTCCCTGAGGAGTCCATGTTAGTGAAGGACAGCGTCCCCCAGTTTCAGAAGATACATTCATGGGATGAGACTATGGCCCAAAGCAGTATGCAAGAAGAGGGCTTGGTAATAAAGCCTCTTAATTATAGCACATGCAATTTAAGATGTGAAAATTCTTTTGATGTCAATTTGTGCAACAGCGAAGAGGTGATGAAGGAAATGACCAAAGAGTTTAGGACAGGAAAATCTGTAGGAAGGTCTGAGCCAGAAGGCTGTAGTAGTGTAACTACAGACAGAAATCAACCTGGTTATGTGGGTCTTGCACAAAGCATTGGAAGTAGTGAAGTCAGCAGTGGAAGAACTTCAGAGTTGGGGAATTCTTCTTTGACAGAGCGTCTAGGTAGTGTCACCAATGTCCCAGCAGGCTTCCAGAGCACGTTGTCTAAGGCTAGTGTAGCTGGAAGCAAGGCAGGAGGCTTGCGAGAGAGCGATGACAGTAGCAGTGGAGATTCACTAGCTGCCCGTATCAAAAACCTTCTGCGGAATCCTCCCTCGGAGCCTCTAGGCAGTGTCACTGGTGTCACAGAGGGCTTCCAGAGCATATTGTCTAAAGCTAGTGCAGCCAGAAGCAAGGCAGGAGGCATGCGAGAGAGCGATGACAGCAGCAGTGGAGATTCACTAGCTGCCCGTGTCAAAAACCTGAGAAATGGACCGCCTGCAATACGTGCAACACAAATTCTGAAGAGTGCGGATGAAGAGGAGATGAAAGCACGAGGTAACAAAATGTCTCAGTTGTGTTTTATCAAGTGTTACATTAGAACGGCAAATATTTATGTTTAAGGATTGCTTTGAAAGTACTTTGAAATGATGAGGTATGGACATAAGAGGACTGGAGTCTGTTCCCCTGATTTTAAAGGTGGATTACATTATATTATTAATGATAAACTTTAATGGGACAGGGCTTAAATGATCGATGTTTTTTAGTCATCCTATGTAGTATAATAGAATGGGGTAGAATTGGACTTCCAGTTTGAATACCTTCTTTTGCCTAACATTGGCACAAGGAAGTGTTTTGTCCACATGCCTAATAAGGCACGTGCCAGGTTAAGAATTTGGGAAAGGATTGTGTGAAAGAGTGTCGACTTAAGTCTGAGACTGTAAAGGTGACAGAACTGGGTAATGGGTCCTGGATCCATCTTTCCAAAGAAAAGTTCAAAAGACCCATTTAAAACTGTATTTCTGGTCAGTCTGTCAGCTCTGTTATTTGATAATGGTCTTTGTCATGGTAGCTAGAAATGTGTAGCAAAATTTTGATTTTTAAGTTAAACTGTTATTGTACATGATGTGAGAAAATGGAAAGGAAACTGCTTTCTATTTTGTGTTCTTTGTATAGCATGGGTGAAGCTAAAACTGGCCAGCCGATCTCAGGAATCTGTGTCAGACTGGAATGAAGATGACCAAAAAAGACTAGAGGAAATAAAGGCAGAACTGCTTCTGAGTGCCAAGAAATCTGCACTAGCCAAGGTACAAAAGAGACAAACAAGCTGCTCTGGAGAAAACTTTTGAAGTGGGGGATAAATGCTACCGTCTTGCTTGTGATCTTAAAATGATTAATTAAATTCCTGCAGTATTTTTGAAGATTGGTGGCCAGACAGCGAGAGGGGGATGCAAAGTAATGAGAGCTCTGTTTAATGGAAGCACTTGTTTTGGTTTAGTCAGTTCCTACGTATGTTTTAAGACCAGCCACAGCACATGCTGTTGTGGAGTTTTTTTTGTTTGGTTTTCTTTTGTGGTGTGTGTGGTTTATGGTTTTTTTTTTTTTTTTTTTTTTTTTTTTTTTTTTTTTTCCCCAGACAGTAGTTAGATGTCTTGGGTGAGGGGAGGTGGTTTGGGGCACAGGGGGCTAGTACACAACTGGAGATATTCTGAAGGAAGCTATGAAGGACAGAGATGTGGTCAGTGACGATGTGATGGGAGAGTTGGTGTTATTGTGGTGAGAATATGCACGCAGCTCGTGATTCTTAGTTGGCTTAATGAGTTCTGCTTTTCACAAAATATTTATGCAAGTGCTAATGGTGCCTTGTAAACTCTTCCTGCTGTGGGAAGAGTTTACTGTAGAGTGCAATATTGTCTAGGTGATAGGAGTATTTGTTGTGCTTACTTCCCATGTACTCTGAAATGTTTACAAAGGAGTGTGATACTTAGTTTTGAAAGGATGTGTCAGGGAAGAAGGGAGTATATTGTTCCCTCTTTATGTTGACTGTATTAAAGGTAACGGGCTTCAAGTGCGAAGAAGTGTCTTATTAGAAAAGAAACTCCTTAACAGTAAGGATTATGAGAAGAAGATTACGGAGTGTTGATCATGGTATGTTTTTAAGAAGAGCTTGGGCATGTATTGGTAAAGAATCATCTAAGTGTAGTTATTGCTGGTTTGGGGTGGGGATATAGACTAGATGAGCTTTCAGTCTCTTATAGCTCTATTTTTCTGTGAAAACTTGTCACTGAATTGTTGTGATGTTTTGCATATCTCCTCTGGAACATTTCTAGTTCATATATTAACATATAGTATATCCAAATTGGAATTTGTCTAACAGGAGTATGTTACTTTCAGTCTGACTTTGAAATGCTGAAAACAGATATTCATGTCCAGTCTAACTCTGTCATGATTTCCAGGGGCTGTCTGTGTGTCCCAGGATAGGGTACTAATCATAGAGAATATTTTGAACCAAAAAAAGAACAGACTGGAAAAATGTGGAGATGTTTGTATAACATGAGTAGTGGATGGATGATGTATTCATGTGTGCGAGTTAGACAGCCCAGAGTTGGCAGGAGAGAGACTGGATAATTAGGCAGAGCTAAAGGTTGGGGCAGTTTCTGAGGAGAACGTAGAGAATTTGCATTTGAAAATAGTCATAATCTGTCCTAAATTTGGTGTTTCACATACATGTCCTTAGCTTTTGCAATATATCTTCTTATTTTTTATACTGTTTTTTTCTTTTTTTTTTTTTTTTTTTTTTTTTTTTTTTTCTTCTCTCTGTAGACTGCCTACCTCCCAGGAAAAGCAGTAGGGTTTTGGTTGTTTCTTTTAATTAAAAGCTTTGCATCAGCAAGAATGAAGAGTAGTATTTTAAGAGTAGTCTATGTTTGTGTTTATAGTTTCTTGGGCATGACCATAATTGGTAATATAGACATCAGCTTCCGAAAAACATCAGACTAAGCTTCTCATTTATTCATGTGTTGATGTAATTTTTGACTAGGGAGCCTAAAAACACCCCCCACATTAACAATATTATTTATTTTTAGAAATTCAGACAATTCTTAAAAAAGAAAAAAAACCCCAAAGCACAAATAATTTTTGCTTCAATCTGCTCATTAAAAACTAGATGCCCTGAAGCTATTTTTTTTCCCAACTTTTATATTTTGTTAGACCACAGCTTTATCCCTAACATTGTTACAGTCTGGAACCAAGTATTTTACCTTTATGTGACTGAGTGTCAGCTATGAATTGTTTTATCCTAATTTAGAGTAAGAAAAAATAAATCAGTTTTGCAAACTCAAGACCTCAAGAAATTGCTTAAAGTCAACCACAACACTTTTTGCTTTCATCTTGAAAATATTTTTGCCCTACTATGGCTTTAATTTGAGATTAAAAATAGTTCTGAATTTGCAGAATGAAGGTGGCTTTTTTTTTTGCTGTACTTAAGATAAGTGTGTTTTTCCCTCTGAGAAAAACAATGTCACTGAAAAATACAGATTGTTGAAAACTATTTAACTGAAAAAAATGCAGCCAGTTTTATTGCTGACAAAATAATCTACTATAAATTTAATGGAAACCATTCTGTAAAATACCTGTTGAATTTATAGAGCAAAGCTGGCAATGCACTGCAGAACAAAGATTATGAAAAGATATTTTCCTTCTAAACTTTACAGACTGAGAAAGACAAACTGTTCCTAGCACTCATGCAAACAATTCTTTCATCAGACCGTCATCTTTATTTTAGTGCTTCTGATGCAGGCTTACGATGAGTGTTCTTTTGAGAAACTTTCGACTCTGCCTCTCATTTTTATAGGTGACAAATCAAGAAATATAATGTACCACAGTGATATTTTACAGTTTCCCACAGGAAGCATGTGAACCTTGTTTATAAAAAAAAGACAATGCAAAGAAGGATCAGGACAGCTTGGGAGAGTTCTTCTCAGTGATCTTTTACTTCTAAAGATTGTTCCATCTTTTGAGATAGTTGAGTTTGATAGCTGTTTGTCACTGGTGATGTGTTAACAGACGCTCTAAAAAAGAAGCATCATAATGATTTCTCAAGTTCTAGCTGAGCAGAGTGTTTAAGGAAGTGATTGGGACATACGCACATAAATGGGTTCCAAACATGTACTCAAGTGCTAAGCTGAACTGTGGCTCAAAAAAGGGAACATTTGATGTGAAAATTTAATTTTGAAGAGGTATCTTTAATAGCAAGCAATGCTCATGAGCGTAGCTCAGAATTTTATTTTCTCTGTTTTACCTTCTGTAAAATTGACAAACCTTGCATAGTGAGTCTGGTTTTTGTACCCTCAACTCATGGAGTCTTCTTGGTGATTTTATAGCTCTTTCATTACACAAGGACAGAAATACTCACACTGTTATGTTTTATAATAAACACTAAAACTTGCCAGAAATGCTTTGGAATAAATGGCAAACATGGAACTTTTGACATAGAGGGTTTTTATTCTAAAAAGGTCTTAATTTGTCATTCTTGGAAAAACAAAGTGCAGTACATTGAGCTTCTTTAGGGGGAAAAGGAGACAAAGGCTGCAGTTTTATTAACTGCATATATTTTGTGAATGTGCATAAGAAAAGTCACATTTCGGATTGTGGAGAGATGGGTCTTGTGAAACTTATGATAAACTTATGGTGCTCTCTTATAAACTTGTTTGTGATGAAGGGAGGCATAGAGTTGCGAGACATTCCTAAAGATAAGTTATTGTTTGATGAATAATTCCTACATTTGTGGCCATACTGGAGTGGCTGTGGAGATCTGGTTTTGCCTGAGCATGTAAGTTGGTGGTAGAATACTTGTTTTTTTGATAGGCTTGAGGAATTTAACCCTAGGATGGGTGATGCTCCTCAGTTGTAAAGAGCCATAGAATGACAGAAAGGTTTGTTCGGATTTTTAAGAAAACAGGATAAAAAAATCAATCCTAGGCTCCAGAAATCAGCTCTGTTACCATTCTTCCACTGAAATCATTAGGGTCTTTCAAGAATAATAGAGAATTTCAAGAATAATGGGGAAAAGCCAGTAGGTCGTGTTCTGTTCCAGGAGCATTGTCTTTCAAATTGAACCACCTCCTTGTGCCATTTGTACATGTACATTTGTTTTGATCCCCCAGTTGTGATTGAGGGCTTTTGAATTGCTGTTAGACAAAAGTATAGTTTCAGCATATTAAATCTAAGAATTTCCTTCTAAATTGAGGACCCCACCTGTATTTTTATAGGTGCCAAATAGCTATCCATTGATTTATCTAAGAGCTTTCCCTCTTTGTATACTGTATTCTTCCACTATATGCTGTATTTTTCCATTCCTTGTACTTTCTCACTTTTTCAGGAAGTTCACTGAGTTGTAGCTATAAATTTGCACTGCAATCTCTTGTGGATCATATGCCATACAGATCTTTTTTGGAAGGATGACACATAACAAGCACAATAAGACATGTGAAAGGCTTGGGAAGATGAGTTTATAGCAACTTCTGTGCTTACTTTCAGTAGTAGGAGTTGCTGTGTATTACTTCAGGCCATTGAACTGGTACGTGGCGTAGGGAAAAGATCATCTTGGGAGTATCCCTAACCTGGCACAGGACTGCTCTGTGTCCTTGCATTCTTCTACAGTCCCTTGCGATCCCTCATGGCTGTAGGAAATACAGGAAGCCATATAAACAAGTTTACTTGCTTAGAACAGATAAGGCTACAGGAAAATACTGCTTTGGAGTAATAATCCAGACCTTGCTGTTTTCCTGCTAATGGCATCTAGGATGTAGAAAGGATGGAAAATCTGTTGTGGAATACTTGTTTAGACTTTGTGACTTACACCAAAAATGTTTTTTACTGATTTTTATTTCCCAATTCCAGCTAGCTGCTGAGGATGTAATCATCCAGGGATGTGTGTTACACTTCATTAATCAAATATACTCTACTGTTTCTATAGTTGTTCCAATCAGTAGGAAAAAATAAATATAGCCTAGATTTTTAATTTTATTTTTTAAATAAGCTTATCTGGCCCATCTCCATGGCAGTACATTTATCTCAGATTTGTTCTCTGTACCTCAATGGAAGTATTTTAATGTTTAATGACACTTAAATTAAGGAAGTGGAGATACTGATAAATTAGTAAAATTACGTCCACACGTAAGAAGTTATCTCTAAAGAAGGCTGGTGGCCTATAGTTTCATGTATGCTAACATGAGCTCTAATGATTTGGATGTAAGTCTTGGATGCTGATGAAATTGTCTTTTGTTTTGTCCATTTCCAGTGTTCACTAACCACGCTACTGCCTCTGATGCTAAACTGACCTGTCAAAAAGAATTGGGGTGAAATAATGTAAGAGGGAGCTGCTTTCTAGCATGTTGTGTGAAGTGTGGTACTTTGTGTTAGGAGTGGGGCTAACTGTGTCATACCTGTTAGTTAGTGTGCAACTAAGTGAGGGGAATCTCAGTGTGTAGATAAAGGTTAATTTCTCTAGAATCAATGCAGCTACTTCCAAAGGTTAGTGTTTCAGTTCTTTTGTTATTGCCCCCCATTGGAGGTGCAGTGTTAAGAGAAAAAATTAAGGCAACTACTCACCTGCTTCAGGACAAAATTTGGTTTTTTTCTGATCAATGTTGACAGTAATAAATTACTGTGAGAGTGGTAACTTAAGATTTTCCTAGTTGTACTTGCAAGGCTTTCACTTTGTGCTCTTAGAGTGACAGGCTTTCTGCATGCATTTGGGAGTGTGATGTTTTATTCACTTGTTTGTAGTGTGATCTTTAGAGGTATTTGCAATGCTCCTTTTCCAAACTACCTCCTTCTTGCAGGTAACTTGCTGCGAAGGTCAACTGCCAGCATTTGGGAGCTTCCCAATGAGAAAAGCCTTGGAAGCAAAGGTCCTATCCATTCCTACCTCCACCCAGCCCAAACCACTACACACGTGTACAGGGAGGTGTAGAAACTAAAGAAATGAGGGTGGTGAGCCAGTCAGAGAGAGAAGATCCCATTTTGTTTGTCTGTCCTATTGATCTCGGTAAATCTCTGCAGACCATTGAATGTGCCTTGTTAGTATCAGCTGTATGTAATGAGTTTGGAATATCCAAACCTCATTGAGTATTTAAACACATTTATTTCTGCTTTGTTTGGCAAGTAACTAGAGCCATTTGCTGAACCCTTCATATCATTTGTCTCTGTATGGTACATCTAGTGCTTTTGTCTACAAAAGGTGTGTCGAGAAATCAGGTTACGTTTTGAGATGTCAGAGGGTGGTGTAGGTTCTTTTGTGAGCAGGGACTGCAGCCCTGGGAATTTTCCAGTTAACTGCAGTGTCAGTAATCTGTCTTATTAGTAGGCAGCTGAAAGGCAACACCTTCTGATGAATATGCTCAGAGAATGGGGTGTGGATTTATTTTGTCTGATTCTGCTGAGGGGCTATAGCATATGTTGCTTTAATTTTATTTGCCTCAGATGATAAATTGCTGTTGATTGTTGCTGTTGAGACTTTTTTTGATGGAATGGGGCTTGAGGTACAGGAGAAGATGAAGCAATGAGGACTGGAGAGCATGCTGAAAATGGGAATGATAGTAAAATCAGGCAAAGAAACCAGGACAGAAGTTAGTATTGAAGTAAATTATTAGTTTCAGTTTCCTAAATGACCATGGGCAGGTAATTTAAGACAGCATTTTATACTGTTGTGTAAAATACATGCCAGAGATGCCTCAATACGTGTAGTGAAATAGCAGAGTCCTACTTGTAGTGGCTCTGATACTGGGAGGTGAGACAGATGTGGGACAATTTGTGTGGTCAGACAAAGGTGTAAATGTAACTTAGTTTTTAAAAGATTTTATGAGCAAAGACAACTGGCGGTGAACTTCCTTGTCTTTGGTGGGATTACTGTCTTATCTGTTGCTTTTTTTGTCACCAGCTTTCCAAACAAAAAAAATAATATTTGTGGCAAGCATATCCATTTTGATGGGAGAATAAAAATTATCTGCATCTGAGAACTGAAAAGTTTTCACAAGCTATCATTTACCTTAAAGTGCAACTCAAAGCTCTGATTGTTTTCAGTAATTTTTTAATTATTGTCAGCAGTGGGTGGTGACCGTAAAAATAAAAAGACTTATTACAGCTCTTGTCTGAGAGGGAAATTGGCATACTCACTTTGGGAGAAAAGAGAAATATCGGTTACGGAAAACTAAAGCTTTTCTAATTAAATATTTTGTTATGCATTAAAAAGAGCTTTGTTTTCCTCCCACTTGTTCCCATGTAACTTTTCATTTTATTTCTGCTTCATAAACACTAGAGTCAACTTAAGTGCAAGGGAAAACCTTTTATATCAAGTTTTGTTTCATATAGTGATATTTATGGCATAGCAAAATGTCAGATACACAAGTATCCCTGTAACCCTAAAAATGTCACATAATGTAGTGTTGTAATAGCGTGGAGTTTGTTTGGACTCTGGTCCAAGGCAGAAGAATTTTAGCATGTGTCTGCTAACTGATTTCTTGGAGGCCACCAGAACTTAACATTACATACTTGGTTAAGGTTTGAATACTTACAACTGGAAGTAAATGTGGGTTTCTACATTGTTTTGTTTTTCCATGGAGCTATGAAAGGATGCCTTTCATCAGTAATTTAGACATCACAAGTAATTAAGTTGTATGCCAGATCTCCTTCCTTGGAGATTTTTGAAACTTGATGGGACAAGGCCTTGAGCAGCCTCGTCCAATGTTGAAGTTAGCTCTACTTTGAACGAGAGGTCAGACTAGCGAATTCCAGAGGTCTCTTCCAACCTAAGTGTTTCTGTGATTTTGTGTGGCTAATTGGCTATCTTTTAATTAAAAAAAAATAAATCACTAAAATCACAAAGCTTTAGGAGGGGGTGTGTGTGTCTCCCTACATCCTTTTGAACTTACAGAATAAATATTCAAAAGATAGTCATTATTCCTAGTACATTGTGAACTGGGTTTATGATAAATGTTCAACTGTGTATAAAGCCAACTGATAAAAAGAAACAAAGTTTTATTCTTGTTTTCCAGTGAGTGGAGTGATGTTGGGAGGTATTTACAACTTTATAGTGCATAAAAATAAAGGTTTCTGTTATAGATGCTGCTGTTTGTTATAGCACCAAACCACGTTAGCTAATTTGCTGGCACTTAAAATATGACAAATTTTTAATTAGTTCCATTAACAGATGAGTTCCAGAGAAAGCATGTGCTCATTCATAATGACAGACTCTTGATTACTGACAGCAGCACTAATCTTTCTTTGAATTGTGCAGTCCAAATGCTGGCAAGTTCTGGAAGTTATCCACGTAACCTATGTGAATTCTTCTGTATTTTTCAGGATTCACGGGGATGCAGTTTGGAAGCTCAGTGTGGCAATAAGCAGGAACAGGACATGGAGCATTTCAAATCTTCAAGTGACAAAAGATTTCAAACTGACAAACAAATGCAAGCAGTCAAGACTAAGGAGCTTTTAGAGTCAAGCTTACGACAAATTGTGCCGTTATATACAGCTGATCCTTCTGATTGTTGTCTGCTGAAGGATACAGAGTTTAAATCTTTGAGTACCATTCCAACACCTATTTGCAACCAACGTCAGACAGTTGCAACTACTCATTCTAATGCTGCTGTTGAACTTCATCTGCCTTTGCAGATGGAGGGAGACTCATATGCAATGGGGTCTGCAGCAGCAGAAGTTTATTTACCAGCTCAGAAGAAGCTGTCTGTGGAAAAGGATTCTGAAGAAATGGCTAAGCAAATTACTTCTATCACCTTTTCATCCCGAAAACGTTTGCAGTCACCATTGGCTTCCACAGTGCTCAGCAGCAGTCTTACTAGAGATGGTCTTGATGGGATAATGCCTTTGGAGGTTGACTCTTCTAGCACTGAAGAACAGACCTATGACAAGCAACGCTGGGAAACATCTAAGACCTGTCCTCCTTCAAGTCCAATGAGTGCTGGCTCAGTGTCTAATGAGATCGCTTTTACTGCTAAGAAAGACAGGTTTCATCATGTCTCTGCTGACAGTAACAGAGTTGGAGCTTATCAAGAAACAGACGGTTTGTCAGATGAGGATTCTGTAAGCATCCACGCTGATAAAAGACAGACCCTTAGTGCAAAAAATTCTCATGTTCAGCCTCAAGATGTGACGGAATTGGGCAGGCATAGTGCCAGACTCCTGGAGCTTGACTGCAATATAAGATTCACTCAAGAAATGAATAGATTTAATGAACCCCATTCTATAAGCTCTTACCAGCAGGAGAAAAGCAGCCCACCTGGCCACATCCAATTGTATGAGAGCTTACAAGGTTCAGATCCAGCCATACAAACTGATATGCTGAAGGGCCATATTAAGTTATTTGAAGAAGAGAAAAAAAGTCTTTCTGATGAAGTACCTCTCATTCAGAAAGAGGATGCGAGAGACCAAATTGGTACATCTCACCATTCATCTGCGGATGAGATTTTATCTGCCACGTCTGTGTCTCCTGCATCACCAACTAAGAAAGTACTGTCTTGTGTCCACATAACTCTTTCCTCGAAGTGTAATAACTCAGACCTGCATGGTGACTTGAATACTGAAAATGAGATGAGTTCATGGCATAAACCTGAAGTTAATACTCAACCAGTATCTTTAAAAACTCCAGAAACTTTACTAGAAGCTGTTTCTACAGTATCAGCTGCTAACCTTATTCCAGAAGATCAAAGACCTTCATCTTTCCCAATGCCAGTGTCTTCAGCGGATTCCTGCCTAGTGCATTCCTCTGTTACAAGCACAGCAGGTCAAGAGCTGCCTCTGCAAAGCGGTGAGAGACCACAAGTTCTGGGTTCAGGGGGATGTAGCCTGAAGAATATCTTCAACTCTGTAGCTTCTGCAAAGATTGAGAAAAGTACTTCTGATGCTACCACTCAGATAACAACAGAAAGTCCCCAAAAAACAACCTTCTCAGCAGAAATTTATGTTAATTCACAAGACAGTGAAAATGCTGTCCACCAGTCATCTCTCCAGAAAGCTCAGGAACTTCCCAACAATACAAATTTATCTCATAACAAGATTTCCTATTTCCCAAGTCAGAGTGGTAAGCAAATTAGTGGCTTAAATGTAGACTTTCATCTTTTCATATTTGAGATATTTATAGGTATTGAAAAGCAAAAACAAACCCAGCTTTTTTGTGAAAGTAACATTCTTGAGATTAGTTTTGATATTTAAGTTTGCTCATATGGGAAAAAACCCAACCCTTAAACTTGGGCTCTGCAGTCTTGTGGGTAGGGAGTTGTATAAATACAGTTGTAGTTCAGTTCAGGTTTACCTGGAACTGAATTTATTTGGTACAAGTCTGGTTCAAGAAAATTTTCTGACATATGTTTCTACATAATTTCATTTAGTTTAAATGGGAAAAAAAAACCTTCCCACATACCCACATAGGTCGTGGTTGATCCATGTTTAATGAAATAAATTTAAATAAGTATAGATAAATGGAACTTACTGCTTAGAGTTTATCAAGAGATATATCCGGTTACTGATTTACTCTCTAGTGAAGATAGTACAAAAGCTAAGAGGAGAATACGCACATCACTACTTTCTGCAGAATAAAACAGAAAATGAGAAGGGCTTTTAAATCTGTTGATGGAGGAGAGTGGATGTTGCACAGTGGTTTCCCACAGTGGTGTTTTATAGTACTGATACGTGTACACTTGTGTAGTTGTCATGATTTTTTCCTGGGCTCTGGGCTTTGTATCTCTGTTTTCAAGGTGTTTAAAATAGCATGAGTTCAGAGAGCAGATTCTTTCATTATATTAGAGCATGAAAAAAGTCAGCTAATGTTCTGGTCCAAACATTTGCTGGAATTCTGTTGTGATGCCACACCGTTTTTATTGACTTGAGAAATGGATATCTATACTTATTTAAAATTATTCCATTAAACAGGGATCAACGGTGACCTATGTGGGTATGTGGGAAGGTTTGTTTTTTTTAAGTCAATGTTTGTCACTCAACTCTCAAATTTAATAGTGAAGAGGTAAGCAAGTTATTTTTTCTAGCTAGGTGACAGTCAACCTTCTAACCATTAGGTGGGTATTAATTAATTAATATTTGCAATTTATTTTCTTAATGAGTATGCTGTGTCTCCAGATTTACCACAGTGAGCATCTTTGTTGCTTTTATCTTCAGTTGCATTAAAGAATTAAAGCCTGACTTCTGTTAGTTGCTTTGCCTTCCATCCTCACAGATCAGCCCTTATTGCTGCCATATAAACCTTCTGGAAGTACTGGGATGTATTATGTTCCTTATCTAAAAGCAGGATCCAGAGTTTCTCCAGCTGGGTCAGAAATCAGCGTTGAGAGCTCTCACTCAGGTATTTATTTATCTTGGATCTTCCAAATGCAAAATGATGATTGTAGTTCATGGATCAAAATATATCTATTTCATATGCAGAATTGTCTCAGTTGAGCTCAGAACTCTTCTGTCCTATCGGTTTAGAGAAAGTGCATTGATTTTAATAAAAAAAGTCTTTGTTCATGTTCACACCACTTTATAACACAAAGATGTACGAGTCCTGACTTGAAGGCTCAATTTCTTTGATGAAAGGGATGTTAGTACTCCATTCTGACAGTGAAAAGAAACAAGGCTCAGTGTTTTACAGCTTGATAATTCTTTACTTTCCTCTGGGAATTACTATTCAGTTCGGACTCTTTCATATCTCTGCCAGTTCTCCTTCTTTTTAGTTCCCTTATTGATGTACATTCTCGCCCTTTTTTATTAATTTGCTATGTGTGCATTCTGAAATACTTACATAATGCAATACGCATTTCAGATAATAGCTTTCTCAATACTGAATTTCTTTCCTCCATATTAAGAGATTCCAGTGTAGAAAGCCTTTCTATAAACAATGTAATATGATCATAACTCTGGTTTAAAAATATATATTCACCTCTTCCCCACATCCTCCCATCTCCCAGTTAAAAACACTTCTCATTTACTGGAGGAAAGGATGCTCTGTGATTCATCAACTTCCTATGCTTTGCCTGCTGTTATTTTTCAGTTCTCTCCTGTACATAAAGAACACATCACATAAGCATTATAGGTCTTATTTGCAGGTTGTTTTCAGTCAGAGCTTTTTGACATCCAAAGATATTTGCAGACAAAACTAGTATTACAGAGATGTCCAGTTCCTGAGAGATGTGCCCCCAGGAAGTAGGTTGATACGACAGTGACAGTAAGTGCATGGGTTAGTCATCATAGTCACAAATTGTGCTTGTAATTGCTTATGTGTATCTGATCATTACCTTTTTCCAGTCTGTCTGTTGTAATATGGTCAAAATGAGAGAAACAAATGTGATGCGAGTCTGTTGTTTTGCAGAAACTATGATGCTAGATATAAAAATTCAGTATGCATATGAGACAGTGCAAGGTTCTAAAAAATGTACAGCAGAATCAGAAAATAAATTTTGTTTTTTAAACTCCCTGCTGCAGTTAGGATTCTTAGCTCACGATAGTAGCAGAAGGAAATTGAGTTGAGTAAGTCCGCTGAATGTTAACCAGGTGGTGTTGACAAGGATGATAAATCAGGGGCCATTTTAGGTTTCTAACATTAGGAGACAGTGGTATGATAGTGAGAGGGGTCTGCTACTGTTGTTTTCAATTCTTGTTTAGAGGTTATACAGACCTACTGTAGTCTTCCAGTTTTTCTCCATTGCTATTCTGAGCTCAGAAAATAGATATTTACATCAGTCAGTGAAAATATCTGGAATTTTCATGTGAGCAGGAGGGAGTCTGGGCACTCCAAATCCTGTGTCTGGCTTCCTAAAGCTTGTATTCTTCTCTCCTCATTAGTAGAAAAGGTAACATTTATCTCCCTCTCAGAGAAGAACCTTGTCACCAAAGATCATGGAAAACAATGTGGCACAATACCTACTGTTGTGTTAGTCACTAGAACTGCTCACTAGGGTTCATCACGATTGTTGGTTGGTAAATATACTGGTACTATTATTGGATAATAGGCTTTCTTTCAGACATTGTCTTTGTTATGAAATGTCTGTGTCCATTTTTCCTGCTTCCTCTTTTTACTCATAATTATTGCTCGCTCTCTCTACAGGGTCAAATGATGCTCTTCCTCCAAGGTTTCCAACAAGCGTGCTTGGTTTAAGGGATGATAATGACCCAGACAGTACAGCTATCAAACAGAAAGAAGGAATCTACAGTAAGAGGGCCAAGCCCAAGCTAGCCTGGGCTGGGGAGCAAATGATACCGTTGGAAGATTCCTCAGGTAGTTAAAGTGTGTGTTTCATTTTACATGTGTTTTCATACACACAAAAGCAGTTAGAGCAAAAGAATTACATTTCAGGATCCACCATTTTTGGTCTCATGGTATTGCTGATGGTCTGCCTGAAGATGCTGAATTTGACTCATTTTTCTCTTCCCCATCTTTCTACTTCTTCCTGAGTGCCCAGATACTTGGATGTTAGTACTCGCTAGCATTCCAGTGGCCACGGTGCTTATCAGAGCCTTTGTAAGATTTTTTTGGGTTTGGTGGTTTTTTGTTTGTTTTTGTTTTTGTTTTTTTGGTTTTTTTTGTTTTTTTTAAGGCACGCTTAAGTTTGTGAAGTGCAAAGTCTCCTTTATGTGTAGAAAGGATGCCCATGTAGAAAATGACAGAAATCCTTTGGTAAATAAAAGCGGGTGGGAAGACTCTGTATATTGGGTTGGGGTTGTGTTCCTGCCCACAAATACAGTGATGTCTTGTGGTATCATGTCAAGTATCTCTGTAATGTTGGTATTTAATTGAATTTTAATTTGATTTGAGTGATGACTCTTTCTTCCTCCCCTCCATTGACCTCCTTGGATGGTACTCCTGAGAGATGAAGGTCAGGGTTTAACACTGTAATAGCCTACTTTAAGGCTTTATTTGCTGAGAATGATGACAAAATGAGATTACGCTGTGCTTGCTGATGATTTTGACACTGTTTCTCATGGCAGTAGCTAAAATTAGTCCTGATGGGACACTCCTTTCATACAAAACCTCTTTTTGTGATTTTGAGTGCCTAATAAATTTCAAGACTGAATAGGGATGAGGATTTTTGTTGAGTTTGAGAATTGCATTTTGTTCCTGGACAGAAGTAACTGTAAACAGAAGATTGCTGAGTGGTTGCCATCTCTCCTAAATGCAGCTAGTAATTCCTAAGAGAAGCTGCTTATTACACAGTACAGTATTTTGCAATATGTGCTATATTACACAAAGAATGAGCAAATTACAAGGAGGTAATATAATTATAGCTGTTAATGAGGGATGGGACCTGAAACATATGAACAGCATAACAGATTTTGAATTAGAGAGTTTCTGCTCTCTTCTAGCTATTCACATACATAGGGTTGTTTGGAGCCCATACATTTTTCTTAGTATCACATAAACTTGTTATATGAACACTAATGTAACAGATTTTTAGGAGTTCCTCAGTGTGATTATTGTTGTCCTTTTTAAGCAAGCAGTTCAATATGCTCAGGGTAAGGTCACCCCAGAGCTGTGCTGATGTATTGCTAGGGATTCCGTCTGATTATTTTAATTCTTCACTTTAGAAGGGATTTTCTCTGAAGCTTTTTACTTCGGAATGGGGAGATTTTGGTATTTCTATTAAGTAATTTTTATTTCCAGGAGATAATTTAAGGTGATGGCATAGGACACACTGAATTTCATTATTTTATGTTCATTTTACTTTTTCAGTAAGTATACATAGGACCAACAGTCGAATTAGTGCAACTGTAAAGACAATGTTGTCTTAACCTAGTTTTTCTAATGAAGAAATGATAGTCTGTGAGCGTTTATAAAATGCAAGGATATGGAAATAAGTTGAGTAAGATAGAAAAATATTTTTCTTCATCCGTTGTGGCTAACTCAAAAGAAGAATGCTGGGTCATGGTGGCAGAGCTGAAGAAAGAGTGTGTGTTGGAGCAGAGATCAATGGATATACGTTTCTCTGAATAGCCTGGATAAAAACGAATAGGGAACACAAGTGTTAATATAATATTATCTAATAGTATTTTTCTGTAACTATAATGGTCTAAAGACACAGGCAAGAAAACAACTGCAAGTAGAAATAATCTTTTGTTAAACCAGCCAGTACAGTTGGAAATTTAGGCAAGCTTTCTGAAGAAAGACTTGCGTGTCTAAAATCTTCTCTGACTTCTTCAACTGTATTTTTAGGTGGTCTAATAAAAGATTACCTCTACCCACAGAGCTTGTCTAGAGCTTGAAATTATGCAAGTTAGGTTTTTTTTTTTTTAAAAAACAAGGTTTCTCTATATAAACCTATTTTTTACCTGCTTGCATTACTTCCATTTTGTTGATAACTTTTTAAAAATACAGAAATAGCAAAAATTTTGCATAGTATTCCCAAGCCTGATCTCATTTGTCAGGAGGATGTGGATGGATCCTCTTACATGAATACATAAACGCTGACCTTGTATGGAAAGAAAAAATCCTCCAGTTTCAAAGTTAGTGAGACTGATTCTGCTTATGCTATTCATTACCTTGACATTACACTGGAAGTGTCTCTGTGTTGGGAAGGGATGTATAAAATATAAGGAAAACAAGTGACTAAACACAAGGTTTACGAGGCAGTATTAACAATATAAATTAATATAATCGTAACCCTTCCTGAGCTTATCTTGCATTCCCATGTGGAATTGAGGTTTTATAAAAACATAGCGTGTGATTGTTGATGAGGTGGGAAGGTATATTCCTCCTTGGTTGGGGGACTTGCCACGCTTTTGCTGAATCAGTTGCAAAGTGTGCTCAAATAAAAAAAAGGAAGACCTTGTTTCCAGTTCTGTTTTCATTAATAGATCACAATCACAGAAACTGGTATTTATAATTCCTACTTTCTGCCTTCATGGTTCATTATATAATTCAGTCTGATATACAAAGAACATAATATGAAACCCATTTTTACTTTTTAAAAATGGAATTTTTTAATTTTTTTTTTACAATATACTGCGGATAACTTTAAAATTATTTTGAATTATATTCCTGCTAGCACATGCTGCATGCATACTTAATGTATGTATATTACAAATGAGTTTATAATTGGATTTCTGCATATAGTTCTTTGTAATTTCAGAAAGTAGCATGTTCTGGGGGAATTTCACTGCTACTTTGAACTAAAATGTGTCATCTGAGCTTGAAGGCAAAGCAGGGTTAGATCTTGGTATGCTATCAGAGATCGTTCTAGGAGCTGGACAGGAAGTGGTATTGGTTTTCTTATATATAGTGCTGCTCTGAGTTATTTAGGATATGATGTTGAGGCATAGCCTTAGGGGACATTTGTATTCCCTGGGCATTTGTCTTAAAAGAGGCAGTTGCGGCCTGTCATAAGTTTCCATAAATATAAATAAAGCCTTAGTCCAAATTTTGGTCTGGAGCCTAGTTACCTCTGGTGTATCTAGATTCCTCCTTCAGACTCAGTTGGATATAATATTCTCTTGGATTCTGTGTTGCAAATGATAGAAAATATTATTTATGTACTTTTAATAATGCTGAAACTTTGTTGCTATTTGGGAATGGGTACAATGATTCCTGATTTAATCCTTTGAAGTGATTGGGAAGTGTTAGCATGAAAATGATCCTGTTTAAGATTTGCTGTTTGCTACTTGGTTCCCTGTAAAGAAACAAAAATGTAAACTGTTTTCTTCTCTTCTAGAACACACAGATCATTTGAAGTCTGTAAAAACCACTCATTCGGTCTTCAAATCTGCACAGTTCTACCTTCATCATCCAATGCCCATGTGTGAGAGCTACTTCCTGTCTAACAGCGAGTTGTCAGAAGACAGTTCTGGTATTGGACATGCTAGACCTTCCTCAAGGGCTGTCATACAGAATCGGAAAAAAGTACATTGTCATCAACATGTTTGCTCCATTTTTCATAAAAAAGATGGTGAAAATGAGTTCTTTCCACTCACTGCAGAAGGAGATTACAGCAAGAATGAGGATCTAAATGTTAGCACATCTTTGGGGAATGAAAAGTCAGGAAAGAACCTACTTCAACATGGCAGAAGAGAAGCAGAACAAAAAGCAGCTAGAAATTGTCCTTTGCTGTGTAGCCAAACAACTTGCCTCAATGGGACTGTGGAGAAAGACCTACCACCGAGACACAGAACCCACTCTAGTGGTAGTTTAGATGAACTCTGGATTAAGTTTTTGGAGTGCCAGAAGAGACACCAGCACCATAATTTTAGGAGTAATGGGGAGCTGTCCCTTGTTGAACGCCTTGATAGATTGGCCAGGGTCCTTCAGAATCCTATTAGGCATACACTAATAACAACAAAATCTGAAAAGAATGTTTCTGAAAGGGAAATAAAGGGGAGAGAGCAGAAGAAAATGGAGCATGTCAGCGTGTCAGAAAAGAGCATGTCTGAAAGTACCTTACAGTCTAATGCAACACATGTTGAAGAAAGACCAGGTATCATCCATGATAAAAATAGCCTTGTTAAGCTCAGGAAAAATAGGCCAGAAGGGAAAATTATCTGCCATGTGAATAAAATTTTGGAGCACCAGCAGTACTTGGAAACTCCTAGTGACACTTCCTCGGAGACAAGGCTTAGTAGGGATCATGGCACCACGATGAGTTCCATCACCTCAGAATCAGATGCGGTGACCCAAACAGAGATGGAAACTGCTACTCAGACTGAGGTGAGCAGTTCCATTTCAACCATTGACACTGCCAGGCTGATCAAGGCTTTTGGGCATGAAAGAGTGCGAGTGTCACCGAGGCTCTCCCAGCTTTATTGTACCATCAACCACCAGAAAATTCGCTCTGAGAAGTGGAACGAGGGAAGTGGCAGAGCACTGGATGTAGAATATCCAAAGGTTACTTCTGAGAGACACAGGAGAAGGAAAGAGATCCAGGTATGTGGTCAGCTAGACCGAAAAACAATTTTAACTAATCTTTATAGGAGCTCTTAAACTGCTGTACAATAGTAGAGTTTGTTAAATAATTTAAAATTTCCCAGAGTGTATTTATATGGTGTGTTTCTGTCTTTGATCTAAGTAGCTCAAAGAAGTCCTATGTCTTTCCCAGAATATGGATGGTTCAAAAAAGATTTTTATTAATATTTTCATTTATAATATTTATTTAAAGGTAAAATAAAATGGTCATAAACTTTGCAACATTAGGACCATTAATATTAATTCTGAGCATCTAATAATGAAAATAGGATCCAGCATTCCTTTCATGGTTCTATTATTAAGAAGATTATTTTGTTCCATATTCCATTCATAAGACTAATCTTTCAATGTCTGTTTGGACCTTAAAAACAAAATGTAGTCTTTTGCCTGCTGAAATCACCCATGAGATAACTGATTGCAGTAATACTTCTATGAGAATAAAGGCTCACTGTTCCCGGTGCTCCATGTTGCATTGAACCCACATGGCTTTAGAAAGTAGTGTCTTTTATCTGCTGATGTAGTGTTCTTTTTAAAAATACATATAGATACATGACCCACCTCAAATAAGGAGTGAGAGAAAATTGATGGCAAAATGGCAAACTTAATTTTAAAATCCAAATTTTGGTGATTACTGTGATACTTGGCAGAACAGAAGTCAAGAGTTTTTTTGTTTTTTTTTTTAATTTTAGCTGTAAATATCTGTGGTTCAGACACAGATATTTGCTTTATAGCAGAAGGCTTACTCCTAGAGAGACTACTGTATAAATCTTTCAGACAAGTGCTGCATTTTGTAGCTGTTTTTTATGAAAGCCTATTGTCAGCTCTGCTTCCAGAAAACTTGGTTACAGCTTTTTTTATTTATAGATGCTGAACCCATCCCAGAAGGCTTTTATCTATTCCAGTTTCTGTTATTTCTAAAGCACTCTTCAAGCTGCCATCTGGTAGCAGGTACAAAGCTAAAGGTTGTGCTATTCAGCTGCTGAAGGGCTTTGAAAGCACTGCGCTGAATATTCTAGTCCAAATAGGAATGTGCGTGTCAATATTCAGTATTGAGTGGCTGCTTACATTTATTTCTGTGGGCTGATATGCATGTGCATGTAAATGGCTTATCTTGGGTTTTTTTTCCTTACTTTATACTGTCTTCCTTTTTGCTGAGCACATACTCAATTTTGCTTCTGTTCTCTGAAAGAAGATACATATCTACTACATCTGTCTAGTACACTCTACTAGAGTTGAAATAGCTTTATGAAACTAAAAAACCAGTTCTTGCCAGTATGCATGAGAGTAAAAATTGCCTCCTTTTAATGTTGAAATGAAATTATGTTTTTCATTGAAGTGGTGATAGCAGAGGTTCGATAAAAAAGGTAATAAAAAAAACCTCTGTTCATTTCCATAGTGGCTGGCGTTATGAGTTACTAATAGGATACTAATTGCTATGATCAAGGAAAAGAAATCTGTTTCATAATTAAAAATTAAATTCAGCAGAGTTGCAGAGATTGGTTGCAGAGATCTGCACTGTTGGATTTGAAGCCTGGGGAAGCACTGTCAGTTAATTGCTGTTAATAAAGCAATAACCTTCTCTCCATTTTATATAACCAAAAAGCTTGTGGACTAGATGCGTTACACTTACAGAATATATTCTTTTTTCAATGGCTGTAAAGTTATATCATGTCATAAAATTTAGATTCATTTGTTATAACAAAGTTGTGCTGCTTACATCCCTGCAGCTGGAACTTCTGTTTGTGTAAATGGTAAAGATGTGAAACTAGTGTTTTGCCGAAGCCATGATCCGCCACGTGTCTCCTTTTTCTTGTTTTTATTGAATTTAGTTTTTTCCACATGGAGAACTTTGTGTAATGAGGATCTCACGGTGAGAGAACTTCCCATGTTTTGAAAGGACTTTGCTCTTCTGTGCCAATGGGGTAGAGCAATGTGAATGTAAAATGTGAATTTACAAAGCAACATGTTAATCTTTCAAGACAGTTTGTCCCTTCAGCAAACTTAGCAACCTTTAAAGACTTCTGGGTAGGAATTTAGGATTCAGTTTAGATTTTTTCTACTTTCTAAAGTAGAAATATTTCACACACTTTGCAGTCTTTCATGAAACTACAGCTAACAAATGATCTTGCCCTACAGCAAAGGGTTTTTTTAAGTCTGTCTTGTCAGGCCACATTGTCTCATGAACTTTGGACAAGTGAACTGGAGGATGCTCGGCACTGTCCAGAATCTGATCATAGGCAAGTTCTTGCCTACAGAAACCACACAATCTTCTGACTAGAATGGAATGCAGACAGAGCATTGGTGTGTGAGGATCAAGGCAAGGCTGACTGTTGTGTGACAAAGCGCTAAGAGACACTAATCAGCCTGTGATAAACATCTAAATAATAGTAGAATCAAGCTAAAACAAGTAAAGAGTGATGGCTGTAACTTTTTTTTTTTTGCTGTTTAAAACCTGCTTTCTGTTAATTTTGGTTAGTATTTCAGGAATTTCTGTTCTCTTGCATGTTTTTTTTTTTTCTAGAAGGCAATCTCCCTTTCATTGGATTCAACTTCTGCAAGTAGCGGTTCCTGGGGACCAAGCTCTGCTCTTAGTAACAAGCGACGGGTACGGATGCTAAACAAAGGTATCCAAGCAGGTGAGTTGTTGAATTCCAGACTTGTGTTTTCTCTATTTCCTTCTGATACTCATCTCTTTGGAAACCGTTCTCCCAAGTCTGTTGCGTGTTTCTAGTCATGGGTGTGTACACAGAGCATTCTTCAAATTCACTTCAAATGCTTTTAGAGAAAGATGTTACGTTCTAATTAAAATGAGCCATTTCATTTCCTTTCTTGGTCTGCTTGAGTAGTAGCAAGTTTTATTACTTACAAGTTTATCAACCTAAGCTTCTGATCCATTTCAATAGTAAAGGTGGACTAACTGTATTTTTTATATATTGTTTTCTCCGCAAGACATCTGTTACTTGCAGAATACATTTTGTAGGCATATGCTACTTCAGAAGGCAACTGCAGTCTTTCGTGTTCTTCTTGGTAATATTTTGGATGTTATATTCTATTTAAAACATAAGCTGATCCTGGACTGGTGGAGTCCTGCATTTGGGTTTTTCTGGTGGCAATTGTCAGTTTCTTTGTTGCTTTCATTTACACGCCATCATAAGATTAAGTAGTGGCTTTGTTTTATTCATCAGACATATCAATTATTTATTTATTACTGCTTTTTTTTTTTTCATATGCAAGTGGATTGAATCAGAAAACTGTTTTCGAGGCTTGTTTTCAAGATCACATTATGGCTTTTTGAATGTTAGTTGACACCTTCCACTTCATATGTTTCTGTTAAATATTTGTGGTGCTGTGGACAAACCAATCCCCTATAACTAAAACATAGTATTGGATGGGATGTACTGCATAAACTAACAGTTCCAGAAAAATCTGCAATTCGGTTGTCCAAAATGTAAAGCTGTGTGCTGACCTGCCAGTGTGTTTTTCAGCAGCAGATTTGAAGTCAACTCTTCAGACAGTCCATTCAGGTTCCCAGTAAGGGCCATAGCTGGTTCAAGTTTGATTCCCAACCCCATATATATATGCTTGCTTTGCCTGGGGTGCTTGGTTTATACCACCTTAATTTTACTCAGATTATTTTATAGTAACAATCCTGAGTCACAATGAACTCCCCTTGAATTAGAAGTAGGAATATAAAAGATTTTCCCTTTAGAAGGTGGGAATAAAGAAAGTGATCCTTCAGCTTCAAAGTAAAAATTGAGGGTCACCCCCTGAACTATGTGTGTCACACAAGTACTTCCAGCTGTTCTGGACTAAGATGTTACTGCTTTGTTCTTAACTACAGGAGACTTGGAGATTGTGAACAGTGCAACTAAGAAAAACACTCGAGATGTTGGTGTGACTTTTCCTACCCCAAGATCTAGCCAGCCAAATCAACGGCCACAGGAACCCTGGCATTGTGTTGATGGTATTTTTGGAGAGTCAGATGGTATGGTCACAGATCATCAGGCAGCAGGAAGCAAGGATAAGCAGAAGGGACAGCCAGGCAATTTTTTTGTGGAGAAAAGGACGAAAAGGAACAGGCTGCATTTACCACAAGGTCAGTCAAAAATACACTTTCTCTGCAGACCAGAAAAGCTGCCCATCTCAACAGCAACCAGCAAAATATGTGAGGAAGATTAGCTAGGACACAGAGTAGTCTGTCACTAGTACAGTCAGTTCTTACTCTGTTTTTAATAAATGAATTTTTAACAAAAACACTATGTAAAGTGAGCTTTCTGCTGTTTAACATCTTTGTTGGTGACATGGACAGTGGGATAGAGTGCACCCTTAGCCAGTTTGCCAACAACACCAAACTGTGTGGTGTGGTCGACACGCTGGAGGGAAGGGATGCCATCCAGAGGGACGTGGACAGGCTTGAGAGGTGGGCCTGTGCAAACCTCATGAAGTTCAATCAGGCCAAGTGCAGAGTCCTGTGCCTGGGACATAGCAATCCCAGGCACAAATACAGGCTGGGGGGAGAATGGCTGGAGGGCAACCCTGAGGAGAAGGACTTGGGAGTGTTGGTTGATGAGAAGCTTGACATGAGTCGGCAGTGTGCACTGGCAGCCCAGAAAGCCAACTGCATCCTGGGCTGCATCAAAAGAAGCGTGGCCAGCAGGTAGAGGGAGGAGGTGATTTCTGCCCCCCTACTCTGCTCTTGTGAGACCCCACCTGGAGTACTGTGTCCAGCTTTGGAGTCCTCAACACAGGAAGGACATGGTCCAGTGGAGGGCCATGAAAATGATCAGAGGGCTGGAGCACCTCTCCTGCGAAGACAGGCAGAGAGAGTTGGGGTTGTTCAGCCTGGAGAAGAGAAGGCTCTGGGGAGACCTTATAATGGCCTCCAGTACCTGAAGGGGGCCTACAGGAGGGATGAGGAGGGACTCTTTATCAGGGAATGTAGTGATAGGATGAGGGGTAATGGTTTTAAATTGAAAGAGGGGAGATTTAGATTAGATACTAGAAAAAAACTCTTTCCTGTGAGGTTGGTGAGACACTGGAACAGGTTGCCCAGAGAAGTTGTGGATGTCCCATCCCTGGAAGTGTCCAAGACCAGGCTGGATGGGGCTTTGAGCAACCTGGACTAGTGGGAGGTGTCCCTGCCCATGGCAGGGGGGTTGGAACTCGATGATCTTTAAGGTCCCTTCCAACTCTAACCATTCTATGGTTCTAGTGCTGTATTATGATGCCATCTTCAATGAAGCTGTTAGATGCAACCTAGAAAGTAATGGTAGTAAATAGGAAGCAAGGAATAATGCAAGGAAAGATGAATGAGATAGGAATCATGTAGATACTTCATTTTGATTTTCAAGGTAAGGTTCTGTTAAGCTCTGTGTAACCGATCACTGTAAGCTGTATTTAGTGTTTCATGTTCTGAGGCTTCAAAGAACAAGTATTTTTTGGGAGTACTTGAGGGAAGGTTGTGGAACCAGAAGAACTAGACTTGTCTCCCTCTTTTAGCTAGAGTTGCATTTTTGGGCTGACAGTGTAGCTTCCTGACCGGTGTTTTATTTTGGTTTGGTCTTGGTTTTTTGGGTTGGTTTTTTTTTTCTTCCAAATTTCCTGTCAGTCTTCATAATGTCATGATCAAATGTTTAAAAATGTTTTCCTTAGTCATCATTGTTGTTGTTGTAGGGACAAATCATTCTCTCTCATACCAGTTTAATTTAGAAAATTTAGAATATCTCTTCAGAGTACTAGCTGATATATTCAAATCCCTTTATATATGTAAACTGTGAGTAATCTAATTCTTGTATACATATTTAAAATTTAGAAGATGTAAAGCATTTGATCTTCAAAAACATCTATAAAAAACCATAGGGCTTAGAACAGCACAGAGGCTCCTTAAAAATGTGTAGCTGCTGATAAGTAACTATTCTTTCTATACAGAGAGAAACTTACAAACTAAGCCATTTTGTGCCTTCTTAAAAGTATTGTTTGCTAATGACTTGCTGGTTTTCTGACACTTGGCAAAGGAATTATTTTGAAACTACCAAAGGTGTCTGCTATGGAGTCCCACTGTTATTAAACTGAAATGAGTATTAACTGCAGTGTTGGGCCACTGAGTGTGTTTAGGTAAGACCTTGGGCATGAAGGGCCATAGATGGAAAATATCTATGCGTTTTATCTACAAATTTTCATTAACTTTTGTGGTCTTTTTAACAGGAATGTCATGGTTTGTCCAAGCAGAAGACTTGAAATCTGAATCTAGGAAGGAAAACCATTCAAATTTCTTTTCTGGTCCTGGTCCCTCTTGGTTTGAACCATTGACCAGCACAAAGCCTTGGAGAGAGCCTCTCCGAGAGAAGAACTGGCAAGAGCAGCAGCACATCAACATGACTCAGCCAGCAGTTCCAGAAAGACATGCTGAGAACAGGTCCTCACGACCATTTGTGAAGCTTACGCTACAGGTAAAGGCACTCTGTGCTGTAAGGCTCCTGGGATCTCAGTAGGATTTTGGGAGTAATGCTGAATGTTGTGGAAACACATTTTGTGCCTTTTTAGGTGGTTTTTTTTTGGTTGTTATTTCACCTTTATGATCAGTGGATGTCAACATGTTACAGACCACTCCTGCTTAATAAAAAAAAAATTTAAAAAAATATAGCAAACCCAAGAAAACCAATGAATTTGTGAGTCCTGTTTGGTTATGTTAATCTGGTTTTCCACAATATGCTAATCTGTTTGAATTGATCTAATATTTTAGGGGTTAAATCATTTTTCTTCAGGAACTAAAGACTGATGCAATATCAAGTCATACTTGCTTCCATGTAGAAATAATAGTGTGGTGTACATAGTATGTGATTAAAATGGGCTTTAATTCATACAGTGCAAACACTGTATGCATGTGTATATACATACATGCATATACAGCGTACACTTCAGATCAGGTGTGATTACTCCACATCTCTGGAAATATACAGATGTAGCATACAGAAATATTTTTGAAAAAGTTTGTCCACAGCAACTGAAATCTAAGTTAGGAATTGCTAATTTAGGTGCGCTTCAGAAGTTTCATTAAGTTCAGTTGCATCTGCTCATAATCTCAGAGACTGCTATTTGATGGAAATCAACGTGTGGCAATCAAAAGTATTAGGAGAATGGTTTTAAAATTCCACTTCTGATCCAAAATGAATTGCTAATGTTCTATGGACTTAACTTTGTGAACTTTGCTATGATTTTTGGGAAGAGATTTGTGTCCCTCTGGCCAATTATTTTAGCCTTGTTTTCCTTTTTGGCCAGTTAGTTTCCCATTTGTTGACATATAGGTTATTAAATAAATCTCTGAGGATCTACCCAGCATTAAGGATATAACATTTTATATGTTATACCAAATACTACTTTGATGGGATTATTTTTCCATGCTTTGGTAATAGTGTTAAATATTTGATTATTATTGAAAATATATGATTATTCCCTTCCAGTCAAAGGGAGACAGTCTGGCCACTTCAAACTTTGCTTTGTGTCATCCCATCTTAGGAGGCTCTTGCAGTGCATCGCCCTGATTTCATCTCCCGCTCTAGAGAGCGTGTGAAGCATCTGAAGCTTGTAATGGAGGAAAGGAAGATACAGAGTGTATTGCAGTCCGAACGAGAAGAAATATTTAATCCTCCAGAGAAGAGAAAGGGCTACAGGAATGCAAGCCACATGCTGTCTGACAGAGGTACCTCCCTGATTCTGCTCTTTATGTACTATAGGAATTAATGATTTTCCACATTATATTTAAGGGTGTGTGTATTTTCAATAAAAGTGTTACAATTATTTAACATTATTATCTATAAGAATCCAAAACTCAGAAAGGAGTCATATTGTTGAAGTAATATTCTCCGTGGGAAGTAGACTTGTTCACCATTCTCTTATCTCAAAATTTTCCATTTAGGTCTTCTGATTAGAGAAAAAAGAAGAACAATTCCAAAGAGTGAAATGGTTCAAAGATCTAAACGGTAAGCTTAAGAAAATTTTCTTTCGTGTAGATAAGTGATCTGAGTAAATGGGTAGGAAGGATGGATGAATTGTATCTGCCGCCAAAGAATTCATCTTTTTCAGTGCAAGATGTAGGCATTTTATCAGAGGGAGAAAGCACCTATTTAGAAAATCCAAGAAACAAAATCATCTTTGAAAAATGATTTTTGGAACTAAACCTGAGTATTCTGCTGCAGTATCTGCCATCCAAGCACTGCAGCAAACTGTGCAAGTACTGGATCCCAAAAGGAGCAGAAATGTAGGATGTGGGCCACTGGAGCGTCTGTATAGCTTGAAACATTAACAAACAGGTAATTGGTGCAGGAAGTGAGGCATCGTTTCACCAAATGAAAGTACCTTGCATAAGAAGTAGCTACCCTCAAAGGAATATGGAAGATATTTACCCTTGAAGAAAACCACCTTACGATAGATTTTGGGTTATTTTTGACTCAAATAATTAATATATAAAGTGCAGACTAGCAGTGTATTAAAGATTTGGAATACCTGTGCTACAGAGAGAGCATGTGAAGATATAATAAAAAATGGAGTCTATTGCAGCTGTATTCTGAACTGGTAGTGGGGTTGAGAGGAGGTGGTTTGGAAGAGTACCAGTTGAGAAACAACATAAATACTTAAAAGTAAATTAGAGACTCATAAAGTCATCTCTGATAACTTGTAAAGTTACATAAAAATACAATGATACTGTAAGTTATTTAAGAATCAAAACCAAGCAAAGGCCAAGAGTATACTCTGAGGCAAGGGATATTTTAGTATTTGGGATTTCAGCATATATGTAAGTGCTTCGTTGCATTGAAGTTTTGGAATGTACATGCTATATGTGGAGGGTAGGGTTTGTGCTATGTGAAAGCACAATGAATCATAGAATATTCATGGTTGGAAGGGACCCTTGAGATCATTGAGTCCAACCACAAAAAAACCCAAACAAAACCAAAAAAAACCCAAACACCACACGCCACACCCAGACACAAACCTGCGGGCCAGGACTGTTTCACAGCATCTTAATTGTTACTAGCAGTGGGATGAAGTGCACCTCAATGGGTTTGCAGGTGATGCCAAAATGGGAGGACCAGTAACTATGCTGGAGAGTAGGTCTGTAGTTTCTAGAGATCTCTGCAGGCTGGGGGAAGGGGCCAAGAAGAATATAATGAAGTTCAACAATGACAAATGCGAAGTCTCTCCTTGGGACAGAACCCTTCTATCCCCCAAGGACACACCCCATGGCAGTGTTTGAGGACAGATTGTCTGTGGAGACAATGAAATAATTTTTTTATTAAGAAAATGGTGAAGGGCTGGACCAGGACCCGCAAAGGTGGTGAAATCTCCATCATTGGAAATAGTCACTAGTTGACAGGATGAGGTCCGAGCAATCTCATCTAGCTTTGAAGTGAACCCCGCTTTGAGCAGAAGGTTGGACTAGCTGACCAGAGGTGCAGAGGTCCTCATCAGCCTAAGTCACGCTGTGATTCCACAAAATACTTACTGGAATGTGCAATATATAAAATAAACCCCTTGATATATATGCTGGAAGAGTCCAAAAAGAATATTTTATTCTAATAAATTGTAATAAATTTGGCAATTTAAAAGTATTTTTAGGGTGTTAATAGAGAGGTGGCAGAAGTGGTAAATAAGGTAAATATGCCAGTTTCCCAAGGAGTGCATCTCCACATGTTTTAGCTGAAGTAGAAGGATTTGGGTTCAGGTCAGTTGGACAGGGAGATGATGAACTTGTATTTTCAGGACCCTGATTTCATAGTAAGTGAAGTCAGCAGGACTTCCATGGAGACTGATTCAGGCAGTCACACTTGGTGACTTTTTTTTTTTTTAATTCTTGCTGCTGTCAAACTTCAGCTCTCAGTTGGAGCCGAGAAGTAATTTATTCTGTACCATTCTTTTGAAATCCACACCTATAATGACTGCAGAAGTTTTTTTTCTTGTTCTCTGTGAGGATGTAAATGGAATTTCTCATGGCAAATTGGCTAGCAGTAATGAAAACAGTTTTCAATTAATTTGCCTGCAATTCCGCATTGCCCACTTCATGTTCTAAACATTTTTATGGTGGGATGATTTGTGAGGGGAAAATCTTGATCTTCCATTGTGGGGAGCCCTCAAACAGTGAAAGCCTTTAGAGAGTGGTGAGATGGTAGCAAAGCAAAACTCCAAATCTTGGAGGTATCCCTTCCCCCATTCAGTAACACATGCATGGACCTAGCACCCTCTGCTGCCCTACAGCAAAGCATGAGAGGAGTAAATTAAACATCAAAATGTGATTTATTTCCTTTTTTCTATAGCCGTAATGTGGGTAGTGACATTTTTAGAGAAGATGATCTCCTAAGAGCATGTGCAGACAGAGTAGGAAAATAGGGATTCACAGGAAGGTAGGTGTCTGGAAGAAGTGCCGTTGTTGTTGGTTTGGGTTTTTTTGTTGTCTTTTTTTTGGTGTTGGATGTGTATTTGCTTGCTCATCAATTCCGCTGTGAAGTCTAATGGACTGGTAAACACATTTGCGTGCAGGACTGTAGAAGCTACAAATGTGTATGGCTCTCCCTAGCTGATGCTGGTGAATTAGACAGGAGATAAAATTCAGTACTGAGATTTGGATTTGATTCTTGCTTTCTTGATTCTGCCTACTTACGTGTTATCGTACAGCTTCCCATGACTATGTTTTCCAGCTAACTTCTCATCCTTCTCTCCTTTGAAATATGCAAGTGACACCTAACTTGTACTGACGAAATAACAAATGGGTACAAACTGAGGCATATTTGCCTCCGTCACTCTTCTTGCCAGTCTGAAGTATTACTTATTTTCCTGTATCAAGTCAACTGTCAAAGATGCCCCTCCTGGCTGGTGGGATGTATTCATTTGCAATGTTCAAAACGGAGTGTGTTGCAGTACTTTCAGATAACAAGAGTTGAAGGCATAGATGTGTTTAAAAATATTCAAAGTGCCAACAGTAATTATGCAAAGATATGATACTGACATAAGAATGAAATATTCTCTAAAAGAGTACAGAATCACAGAATTGTCATGGTTGAAAAGGACGTCTGAGATCACAGAGTCCAACCGTACACACACAAAAACCCTCTACAATCTTGGCCACTAGAGCATGCTCTGAAGTGCACATCTACATGTTTCTTAACTGCCTCCAGGGATGGTGACTCAACCACCTGCCTGAGCAGGCTGTTCCAGTGCCTGATCACTCTTTCAGTAAAGTAACTCTTCCTAATATCATTGTGCTATTGTGTCTGTAACAAGTTAGTGGATTTTTTTTTTTTTTGGCCTATTTGCTGATTATCAAATCAGCATGTTAAGAAAAGAGAGATCTTGCTATACTCCTGCATGAAATATTACAGGATTGAAATTTTTGAACATCATTCATTCCCACCTCCTGTAAACTGTAATGTTTTTGAAGCTCCATATTTCTTGGTAACCACTGTCATGAAATTAGTAAAGCTTTATGATCTTAAAGGAAGATTTGGGGAAGGCAGTGTGACCACTACACTGCCATCATAGGTGTCAGGTCCCTCCTTTAGATGCAAACCAGACTAGAATAGTGCACTGACTGTACTGAGCACCAGTCCCTATTCAATTCAAAGCATCCCTTGCTCTTTGGTTCTGGTATGGAAGAAGTTCAGCACTTTAGAAGAGAAAGCATTCACCTAAACAGGGCAACACTGTTGAATGCTGAAAATACTGAATTTTTGAAAAGATGCCTAAATAGCTTAATCAGGTTATTCTTGTAATAAGGATTTTACTATTGATGGATAAACTTATCAGCATAACCAGTATGGAAAAGCAATGGGGCTGTTCTGTACTGAAGATATTGAAGCTCCACCTTTTGCAGCTGTATAATCATAGCAGCTCTATGTTCATTTAATGTTATAAATATTGCTTTTAGGAGGTGCTGCTTGTAAGTGAAGGGCATTATGGGATGTGGGAATTTCCGGTATCACAACTGCTATGTATTCCACATTTTCCCTGTGTGACACCCAGGGAAACCCCCAAATAAATTTTTCTATGATGTAGTTGGCCAGTGGCTTTTAACAGAATGTGAACGTAAAACAGAGGATGTTTTTTTTTAAGATCAGTAAGTTCCTTCCTTCTAAGTCACTATTTTTGATTTTTTGTATTTACACTTAAGGATCTATGACCAGCTGCCAGAGGTGCAGAAGAAGCGGGAGGAAGAGAAGAGAAAAATGGAATACAACTCATACCGTCTGAAAGCACAGCTTTACAAAACAGTAGGTATTCTGGTCAAGTATTCATACTGGAGCGTTTTAGAATTTGTTTTCTTTGGGTCATGAGCATTATAGCAATATTTACTAAATATTAATTCTGTGGTATTTTGCAACTTCTAGGTGTTTAGGATATATTAGCATTTAATCGTGGTCAAAGCAATCAAGCTTAACAGAACTTGGAACAAAAAAATCCCCTGACTTAAAATCCTCCGAGCACCTACACATGGCATATGGAAAAAAGATAAAGAAGCATGCTCTTCATTAAAGTATACAACAAAAATCTTGTTGCAGAATCTTGAGGGCATAATAAAGGGGTCATGGAGCATATTTAAAGGAGGTATTCTGTGGAGAGGCTCTTTGAACTGAAGGCTGCTGGTTTTACTCTCATGTACCTTTCCTGCAGATGTATTTAGCTGACATAATTCACAACTAACTTCGCAACTGTAGTTAACAAAGTCTGGAGTCATCATTCTTAATTTTGCTTCAGTGGAGAATTGGCAGTCCTGGTGGCAATTTGTTAAATTTGGGAGCTGCAGATTTCATGATTGTTTGTTCAGCTGATGAGTGTGATCTTACATCTGTCTGGCAAGCTGTAAACTAAACCAGTATCCCTAAGCATGGGTGTGACTGACTTTGAACCACAAGCACTTGTCCAGCAGTTCAAGACCAGTTTCTGTGCTGGGGCCTCACCACACAACCAGCAGGGGAGCAAAGGTGGGGTGAAGACTCCAGGATTTTGGGTAGGCAGGAGAAAGAAGCAGTGGGGTTGATTTTGCTGGGCTACTCTAGGACTATGCTGAGTCCTGGCTCATTCTGCAATGAAGCAGTGAGATACCTGCAGGGAACTGCTTCTGTCCCAGCTAACAACTGCAGCTTATGCTTTTCCTCCCTGGCTGTCCAGGTTGTGTAACGTTTGTTTAACAGAGAGACACAAAGCACAGGTTTAATTAATAGTAGAAAGACTGAAGAACCCTGCGCTAGAGACTCCCCTGGGTTAAGCATGATATGTAACAAAGAAGAGTCTTCTGTCCTTATGCCCTCCCATGTGCACACAATTGTCTAGTATTTCAGTGTAACAAGCAGTATCAATTTATACACAATGATGTGATGAATGTCCTGATAAAACAGAGAAGGCCCACTTGTCCCTTCTGAGAAGTGTGTCTCCAATACTGACCAGTGTATCATTTTTTTGAGCTGTTCTAGGCGTTCGCATGCTTAAGCTTTGTTTTAAGACTTAATAAGAACTAAAAGATGAGAAACAACAGTTTGCAATACAAACACTGAGGTTCTAAGCTGAGTTACCTTCTCGCTCTTTAACTAACCCATATACTATAAAACATAGCCTTCTGGAGAACTCTGGCAGCAGGCAATAAACTGCATTAAAAGCCTTAGTGGTCTAAGGACATGCATTAAAAATTAAAACTGATTTGTTTTCCTCTGCATCTTAATATTGCACTTCCGTTTTTGGATTGCAGCTCTTTCCTGGCTGGGTTGTCCTACCAGAGCTAGAATAATGAGTTTAGTTATTTGTTGGGAACAGCAGTAATCGGATTTTAAAAGTCAGGGCTCATAACGCAATGCATTATTCAGAATACCTACCTAATCTGATTGTGGGCACTTACCACTAGAATTACTTGAATTTGATGATAGGCTTTTGCAGGGTATATTCAGGACATATTTTTTTTTCACTAATCTGAGTGTCTCAGATGCCGATGCAGTAAAGCCTCAAGAGTTAATGAATGCTGGCAGTTGTTGACTGAAGTAGCATAGTCAGCTGGAAGCAGAGAGGGAATCAGATCAGAAGTTTTGTATATAAATGTGTTTGTGATTGGAAGAGGAATGATGATTCATTGCAGTAAATATTGTAATCTTTATGTCTTTGTTGATGATGCGGAATAGCTGTAGTGAGTAGCTGTAAATACAGTGAATGGTTTGTTTAGAATTTGGTTAATGTGTTGCTGAGAGCATCAGTTTCTAAGCGGATCTGATTGTGCATGAAAAAAAGAGGCACAGATTTTGTGGAATGGTTCCAAAGATGACACAGAGTATTAGGAGAAGAAAAAGGCTGGTACAAAAGCTAGACTGAAAACGTGTGTAATCTAGGGTTGTATCACTTAAATAATCTGTAGTACTGTATCTCTCATAGTGCAAAGTTTGTGCGTTGCTGGTGAAGAACAGCAAATCAGTACTCTAGAATAGATATGACTTATTTTAATTGCAGTCCTAGAGGAGTCCTGTTGTGCCTCATAGAAACCTACCAGGGGACAGTTGCTTCCAAGATCATTTGGCATGTATCCAGACAAAGCTCGGGAAAGGAGAGGGAGGCAGACAGTCAACTGCCTTGCTCAAGTTTGTCTGTGGGTCAGTGGTGGAGGTTGAGCATAGTATTTGTATTCTCTGACTCCAAGATCAGTGCTTTGTGGCATGACCTATCCTTAGTGAAACTTCTTTGTCCTGCATTTTTTGGATTTTGACAGGCTAGCAGTGGACATCTTGATTGGGACAGGATGTATTCATGCTCCAGCCACCCCAGAGTGCAGTTTAGTAGGTTAAACTGCTGGCAGAAGTGTGTGCTGAGGCATCCTGTTCTGGAATGTCTGAGGCTTATGCTTGTATTTTCTTGGCTGACTTTCTGCTGTGCAAATGTTAATACCTGGCAGAGGAGCACCAATTAAACAGCTGGGCAAGTGGGGGATGTCTTAAACTGCCAGGCCAATTTGCTTAGCGAAGGAGAGTCTGAGCACTTAATGTCTCCCAGCACCTGTGGCTGAACACTTTGTTTTAATAGGGAAGTGTGCTTATATCCTATGTTTATTACATTTCAGCCACAATGTAATATGGCGCCGGGACACTGGTTGCTTCTGTTTCTGTCACTGATACCAAAGGAGTAGACATGTAAAAGTAAAACTAGGTGCACACCTCAACTAACAGCAGTACAGCTGGCTCTGAGGGTGAGATTATCTAGCAGTACAGTGTGCATGCTGCTTCTACAGGGCGTTGAGGCTCACAGGCTAAGGGTGATTAAAATTAGGGAAAGGAAGCAATGAATTAAACATATACACGCACTCATACCTGTACGTGCATGAACGTGGACAAGTGTTGTTTGCTGAAGCATCCTCACATCAGAATTTAAAGGTATGTTAGGTATAACTGCATATTGATGTAATTTATGGGCTGATGCTTCAGAATTAAAATGAACATCTGCTTCTTAGAAATGTTTTGTGAGGAGAAAACAAACAAACAAAACTGTATGTTTCCAGTGTGAGCAATCGCAGCTACTATGTGGGACACACTGCTCTCTGCAGGCAGTGTGTCTCTCCTCGTTAGATGTAGGGAACCAAGAATAATGATCTTAGTGGCCACGTTGAGGGATGAAATGAAACTGAGTTTATTTGGCGCAAAATAAGCCTCCAAATTAGTGAATGTATATGGACAAAATGTGCTTACATTTTGTAAAGTACAAATGAAAGTGCCCATACAGGACATCGGAGAAGGGCGGGCTGTCGGTGCTTGTTTTAAGGCATTTATGTGCTACAGTGGCAATTCAGGGCAATGCAGTGGGAGGGGAAGAGAGGATGAAATAGCAGTTTTGTCAGCACTGAGTGAAGATGGGATCCGTGTAAGGAAATAGTATGGACTCATATATAAGTGAAAACTTATCAAAATTCCAGTGTTCAAAAGCGACTGAGGGTTCTATAGGCATTCTTAATTTTTCTAATTGTTAAATACTTAACTTTGCTATCTTAATAAAGATATTTTTATCACAGGATGCGCATGGGTCTGGCTGATGTTCTGTCCCAGTATCCCTTTGCTTTTGTACTTTTAATTTCAAATAGAGCATAAAATTATATCAGTCAGATAAGGGAATGGTGCGTGCCCTTTAATTTTGAAAACTGTTTAGTCAAGATCTATTTCTGGTCTGATGGCAGCATAAATCAGAACTCTTTTAACCCCAGTGAAGTGAAAATGAATTTTATGAGTTTATCAGATAAAAGTTTGTCCTATTACTGAGGTTTTTCCATTAGATCTAGTGAGTTTGTAACTTTTGTAAGTAGGGAGCATGGGAGAAACCTCCTTAAAGCTGATCCTCCTTAAATCAATATGTTGATTTATATTCTTCCCTCTACCCCTTAAAAAATATATATATTAGCATTCAGGAACACTAAACTATTCTATTTATGGATGGCACATATCCTTTAGAGTCTATGCAAGATAGGGGCCACAAGGTGTCACTACCCCAAAGGAAAAAGCACATGCTTATAGATGTGTGAAACTCAATTGCCCTTTGCTTCCTGCTTTACAGTAATTTTTTTTTTAATGTTTATTTTTCATCCCCTTGGCTACATTTCCCCTCATGTCAGCAACAGTTAGGTTTTTTTGTTTTGTTGTCACTTCTTGGAAGTGGAGCAAAGAGGGGAGATAGCATCTAATTGCTCACTGGGTTTGCTTATTAGATTGCAAAAGGGCCTGTGAGCTGTAAGGACTATTCATATGTTTTGTGGTGTGAGGCATTTTGAACCCTTCTGAGGCTTCATGAAGTACTGGGGACAGATTCCATGCTGAGGTACATGTCAGCAGCTTTTCTGCTTTTTATATTTATGTATGTAGGTAGAGTACATTCTGTATTGATACATACACTATATATATTATGTGTATATAGTATATACACATATACTGCATGCTCTGTATGTGTGTGTATAAAGAGCTGAGCTGCATGTTGCATTCATCTGTGTGATGTAAAAGGTCATATCAGGTAATGGCTGTATCATTCCCACTGCTGTTAGTAATATATTGAGTTACCCAAAGCTTTTACTTTTATCATACAATTCTATAAAGCCATGTAATACGTATCACAGAATCATAGAATAGTTTGGGTTGGAAGACGCCTTTAAAGTTCATCTAATCCAGCCCCCCTGCAATGAGCAGGGACATTTTCAACTAGATCAAGTTGCTCAGAGCTCCATCTATCCTGACCTTGAATGTTTCCAGGGATGGGTTATCTACCACCTCTCTGGGCAACCTGTTCCACTGTTTTGCCACCCTCATTGCAAACAATTTCTTCCTTGTATCTAGTCTAAATCTACCCTCTTTTAGTTTAAAATCATTACCCCTTGTCCTATCACTTCAGGTTCTGCTAAAAAATTTGTCCCCATCTTTCTTATAAGTCTCCTTTAAGTACTGAAAGGCTGCTATAAGGTCTCCCCAGAACCTTCTTTTCTCCAGACTGAACAACCCCAACTGTCTCAGCCTGTCCTTGTAGGAGACGTGCTCCAGCCCTCTGATTGTTTTTGTGGCCCTCCACTGGAGATTACCCCTTGTGATTCTGTTCAGAAAACTTTTTTACAATATCTTCATGCTTAACATTTTTGATGTTTAGGGGAATAATACTCATCTCCCTTGCTTTGTTTTTATCTTTCAGAAAATCACCAACCGTGTCTTAGGGAGGAAGGTGCCTTGGAACTGATAAAGACCTGTTCAAATGAAGGTGTATCGTGCTTATTAAATGTGCAGCATGAAGCAGATTGTGATGTGAAAAAGATAATGCAGTAAATACTTGTGCAGTGTATGTTTTGTGGTATTTGCTTGTGTAATTTTTTTACCTATATAATCTTGCCATATTTAAGAATCAATAATTTGATATGAATGACAGGTTTTTATATAAATGGCTGGGTTTTGTAGTGGTGTTATGCACTTCCAAAGTAAACATAGTTTGGAAGTACTTGGTTCATAATATATTTAGAACTACCTGATTGGAACAGCAGTTTTATATATTTATTTTAAACTGTTTTTCACAATTATTTTTTTATTTCCTATCTCAATGTAGAAAATTTATTTGTAATGTTTTGTAATGCAAAAACCCCTTAAATAAATAACATCAGATCAGTTTGTAGTAGCTGGTGCAGCAATCATGAAATGCATCTTCGCTGTCCCTATGGTCAACTGTCCTGGTGTGGGGTGGAGCAGAGCCACCTCTCTGTTCAGTGAGAGAGGCTCTCACTTATCCTTGCTGCTGTGGCAACCAGGGTTGGCTGACTGGGTTGTTTAGCCCATGGAGGGGTCACACCTCTGGGGAGGAGTGGACAGGTCAGGTGACCCAAACTGACCAGTAGGGTATTCCATCCCATCATCCCTGCTCAGAATAAAAGCTGGGGGATCAAAGGGGTCAGACTGGCTCTTCTTCAATGGCTTGGCCTCTTCAGTGGCTCTCTTTCTTCAATGACCTATGTCTGAAGAGGACCCTGTCTGTTATTGGGAATCCAGTTCCCATCCGTCGCTGATTCCAGTCTGAAACTTTCCTAGGGCCTGCCTGTGACGTCTCCCTGGGAGCTTGATGTGGTTTTGTATATATTGTATCTATTTTATTATTTCCTTTTTATTTTATTATTAATATTTCATTAAAGTAGTTTAGTTTTCCCTAAACTCATAAATCTCTTTATCTCTCTTCTTCCTTTCCTTGGAGCAAGAGGTAGTGGAGAGCATCTGGTCTTGTCATTGGCCAATCTGGCCCAAACTGCAACAACATCTAAAGAAACCAGGCCATAATCACCTCTTACTCTACCCAACATAGAATTTAAGAACTTAGAAGGTAGCTGTAATGGCTGTTTAAACTGGTGTTATTAGCACCTGAAAGAGTGGAGGAGTCATGACTTCACTGGCCTTTTCCTTGGTTTGCTATCTTTCTGTATGAACCAGAAGTCTAATCAGCAAAATTTTTTATGATGATGGGAATTTTTAAGCGTTGCCCTGGGAGGGTCCCCTTCACTTCATTAGATGCTTGCATGCTGACAGGATACTTGGTTATACACCTAACTAGCATCACCGTGGCAAAAGATGAAATACGAAGATTGTGTTCTTGGTGATAGAAGCATGATAGAAGCGTGAAGCCTCAGTTTCATTTCTTACCACAGGAGAGTTCATGCGATGTGTAAACAGGAAAAGACACCTGAGGAAAGCGTTAAGTGGGTGCGAACAGTGGTTTCCTACTTTTGTACTTAAGATGGTAATAGAAATTTAGTTCAAGGAGCAGCTCTTAACAGTACCACCCAATTGTATGGAGGTGAGGCAATGCTCAGATTTTGACCTCTTGTGTTTACTAAGGATTTCACAGATCATCTTTCACCCTTTGGCTGAACCATCCAGTGGTGGCCATGGTCCAGCTCTGCTACTTACCCCTGGAGTTCACATTGGGGTGTAATGAATCAAATCTTCAAATGATGGGAAATAATGTGATTCCCTTGAAGGTCAGTAGAACTACACTGAATTACACTGAACAAAGATTTGGTATAGTATTTTTCAAACTGTGTCCCGTGCTGGTGGTACCAGCTGTTAAAACAGCTGTTATATCCTACCCCAGAGTCAAGTGTGAGAATATATGCGGGTGTAAAATTTACATTTAATCTGGATGTACTCTTCTTGTCAAAATAGCATGCAAAACAAGCCAGCCACCATAAAATCACAATCTAATATGTTGGAAGGCCATGTCTGGTCTCAGAAATTGGAAGTTAAAAGTGGAGGTTAAAAATAATACAGTATCACATGGCTGTGATAAATCAGGTCAGAGAATGGCTTATCTCTTTAGACCTTTCCGCTCTTCAAAATCTGATTTTTATCTGTTTGCTCCTTCCACTGTCTTGTCCTTGGGATCAGTTTGGATGCAAGTTACTGCTTTGCTTTTGCTCTTCTGGAGATTGAAAGCAGCTGTGTGTTGCTGAAGCAGAAAGTGCTAAACCTTGCTGGTACTGAGATTTCTCATACCTTTGCCTGATACACATATGAATAGACCTTTTTTCTTTGCAACAAGAAATTCAGTTGTCAGAGTCATGACAAGGTGTTGCCTCACTAAGGAAGAATTATTTGCTTCTGTTAAAAAAAATTCAGTCTGGGCACGCTTTGATATATCAGAATGCTTGCTCTGAAAGTTGTGCTTGGATATTTTACCCTGGTCTTGAGCTGCACAAAAAGTTTACACTCTGCTTTATGAAATACTGTAAAGCAAACATTCTCTTTGTTTTGCACACAGCAAGGAGAAAAGAAAGTTTTGTCAAGGAACAGTATGAGATTGTTTGTTTGATTTTTCCTCCCCAGAGGAGTGAGCACCTGCAATTCCAGATGAAATCTGAGAAGTTGTAGCTCCTCCCGAACTTCTGAAAATTAGGTCCCACGTGGCCAGGTTTAAAGGAGGCAGGTGTCCTCCTCAGCCCCGTGCTCTAACAGCGTTATCATCCATTCTTCGCCTGATTTCTTCATGAGGGATGCTGGCGACGCTGACTCTCACCCGTTCCACTACCGCTCCTTGTCATCAGGTCAGATAAAGCTTGTGCTGGGTGCAAAGCATCCGATGTTTATAGTTCTGTGGAAGGAGGCTGTTGACATTTGGAATCATTGGTTCCAACACACAAAACTTCTTTCCAAAAACTCAGGAAATTATGCTTGTCTTATGTTGGTTCCGGAGTGGAGTCACATCTCCTTAATCCACTGCTATACAAAGACTTTTAGGGTAAGTTCTGCAAATCTTGGGAAGTTTAAAGAGGGCAGAACTATTTCTTTTTTTTATTTAACCCTACCCGAGCAGGCTTTTGTTATCAGCTAATCAGAAGTGTGCTTTGTATAACATTTGTCACGCCCACCCTGAACCATGATTATTGTGTGGATGCCAAATGCATGATTAAGTCTCACCAAAAGGCTGGTTATCGGAGCTGCTATCTCAAAGGCTGGGAAAGGGCAGCACAGTTGTCTGCTGAGTTGTCTCCAGAAACTGAAGGCAGCTTTGATCTAGCACTGTCATTGTTCATTCGTACCTTGTTCATCACCAAGTGTACAGAATGACTGGTCTTTGGCTTTGGACTGCCTGTAGATGTGCTGCCTACGAGCTGAACTTGAAGTGGGAAGAGTGATGGATGTGAGGGTGAGGTGGACAAGGCAAGAGAAGAGGGGTGTCAAAAAGCTACTCTATGCTTTGAAAGGTTCCTTATTTTAAAAGAGGAGGCTTGTTAGCCCATAATTTCCACTAGTTGTACCTTTTGTATTCCATCCTGATGGACCTTTTATAATAACATGGAAAGTTCTTTAGTTCTTGGTGGATGTTTTTGGAGTCCTTTCTATGGAGAACCAGTCAAGTTAGCAGTCTGCTGCATCAGGCAGTGATGGTGGAATGCATGAGGAGCTTGAGCAGATGCTGTTTGGGACATGTTCTCTCATCATGGGTAACTGGAAAGATCACCATGAAACCAATTGCAAGGATGATGTAAAAAAAATATGTTGGAGTGCGGAACTTCCTTGGAAAAGCAAAGTTCCGCACAGAATATAGTGGTGTTACTGTGCGTGTCTAGTTATGTCCTGGTCTGGAGAGGTTGGCTCCTGGAGGACTGCTTCCCTGAAGGACTTCTGCTGCCTGCCTTTGTCGGTTGTGCCTGTAGGACAATGCAACTGAATGACTTTGAAGAGGAGGAGACTGAAAAGGAGATTTGCCCTGTGCAAAAGCAGGTAAGCCGATGGCTTCCGCTTATCCGTGAGAGCATCCTGGTTTGTAATTCACTATAATTCACTTTTCCTGAAACAATACCCTAATGAAGAAAATACTTCCTGACTGGCTGTTCATTAGTCCAGAACAAACTTTAATCCAGTAAAGAAGAACCTAATATATTGCTTCCTTTATGCTGCGTTTATTAGTTGGCCAGCTGGGTGGCTGTACTTCTGTAAAGTGTAAAAGTGTAGCATGAAGTCGTTGGACCTGGTGGTCGCAGTCCTGGGGAAGGAGTTCAGCTGAACTGCTGTAAATGGAAAAGACACGATTCTTTCACACAAGTGAGGTTTGAAAGTCAAACTTTTATTAATATTTTTCTCCCTACATCAGCAGATAAACTAAATTCTCCAGGCCAAATTAGACCCTGCGGGAGGGTAAATGACCGCCGCATGACAAATGAAAGCCATGTTGATTAATATTCTTCTGGAAGGCACTCAAATTCCACGGTGATGAGGACAGTTGTAAGAGGTCTTGATAGGGGAGAAGAGTTTATTTATTTTTTTTTTTAAATACAATCTAATTTTATTCATGTACTCCTGTGTCTCTTTCTAGCTTTATCAGAAGCCACTTCAAACTTGCCTTCATGATGCAAAACAAAGGAGAGACTCCAGCTTATTTTCCCCGAAGTTGTGTTGGCTCCTCCACCCGAGTTTGATTCGGTACGTCCTGTGAATCACTCTGCTGTAGGGGGCCTGCTGCTGGCTTCTGCCAAGTCCCGTTGAGTCATCTGCTGAGTGGCCAGCCCTGGCCTTCCCCTGGTTAAGAGTAAGTCTTTTGGACTCTGAGACTTGCTGGTTGGATCTGGAGCATGTAGCATGTCAGCTACCTCCGGAACGACTAAGCGTGAGTTCCTGTGGCATTGTGTGCGGATTGAATAGTCATTTTAAAGGGAGATTATGTGATATTAGGTCTAAGGAGACTTTTTTTTTGGGGGGGTCTGTCAAGGCACAAGTTTTTATGAATGGCATAGAGTTGTTTTACTACGTTATAACTGTCCTTGTCCTTTGCAGAAGGACCCATAGTAGGCTAGGACTGTTCATGCTGACAACATAGTCATGGAAGACCCAAAGTGCAGGTGGCTGGGGTCTTCCTGAGCACACCTCCTGTGCTGGTGTGACTCGATGTGCTGGTGAAGAATGAGTGCCTGGGAAGACAAGAGCATGCTGGAAATAGATACCGGGGGCTCTCCCTGTCTTTAGTTCCATGGTTATGAGTGATCCCCTGCCCCTGCTTCACATGTGCTGTTCTTGGCTTACACCAGGATGCAGAAATCCCTGATCTTGGCCTCAGCTGCCAGGCTGCGTGACCCAGCTGCAGACCATAGTTGGATGCCAAAGGTTCTGTAGGCTTTTGTCAGCAG